GCCCCGGGACGCGCCCGCGCCCCCGACGCGGCGGCGGCGGCGCGCCCCAGCGCCGCACTCGCTGCGCGTCTCCGCGAGCACGAGCGCCCGTCCCGCGCGGCCTCCCGCGCGGCCTCTGCCGAACCGGGGCGCGGGGCGCCGCCTGGCGTCGCTCTTTCCGGGCGGTGTGAGATCAGCTCCATCTCCTGCTCATAGGAACCCGTCGCCTGGAGCAGAGTGCCCCGGGGCATGTGCAGGCAGCTTCCGCGCTTTGAAGCAGCCTTCCTGTTTAAAGGGCAGAAACGAGAGGGTCCGACTGTGGGAGGAGGAAAATTGCTGTTACTGAGCAGGAAGGTGGTAACTGAGGCAAGGATGAAATCAAGAGCTGGTGAGGCCACTGAGCCCTTTATAAGGCCAAGGACCTGAGTACAGAACCATGTAAAGAGATGTTAACAGGAAGGAGAAGAAAATAGGCAGGTTTAAATTGGTTACTGAAGTAAAACGAATAAAGGTGGGCTTATAGTATATGGTAGGGCTGAGTTTGGACACAAGAGAAGGGGTAGAATAGTGCTTCTTGCATCAAAGTCCTGAGAGCACAAGAGGAGTGGGGTTGAGGGCATTGGGGGCATTGGTTACACCGAGACTTTTGCAGAAGACAGTCGGCACTTGTCCTTTACAGCTGGCCGTCCTGTGTAAGGAAGAAGGAGATAATGAGCTTGGAGGAAGGGCCGTTCTCCTGTCTCTTCCTCCCACCAGTTTTGGGAGATAAGTGGTCATCAGGCGAGAGGCTACAAGGCCAAGACGACCTACTGAACTCTTAGGAAGTAGTGCGCAGGCTTAATAGGCTCATGGATGATCCCTGGCACCCCTCTCGTGGAGCCCGAGCGTGGGATGCATGAGTGGGAGGGGGAGGGAGGAGCGTGATGCAGGCGGACGGACGGACGGACGGACGGAGGAGCCTGCGGCCTCTTAGTGACCCAGCCAGTGGGAGAAGAGAGGCAGGGTCTGCGAGCCGGAAGCGGGAATGCAAGGCAAGGCCTTGGGTGGGAACGGCGCGCTGCCTGTGTGGGGGGCGCCCGCTCTTGCAGGAACGAACTGAACTATCACTGCTCGGTACTTTGCCTCCCGTATCGTCACTCCTAACACGACGGCCCCCGCCGGGCGCCCGTGCCAGGGGCCAGGAGCCCCTCCTGGCTGGCTGCAGGGTGTCCCGCCTGGCCCGCGGCCCCTCAGGCGTCCCTGCCCGGCGGGAGGGTCTCGGGTCGCTGCCGCAGCTTCCCCTCGAAAGGAGTGGAAGATGGGAACCGAGTCTGGCCGGCCAGGGCTCCCAGGAGCCTCTCCTCGAGGCCGGAGCCTTCCCACGGTGAGCGCGCGCTGCTGGCCGGCAGTGCGGCCCGTGGGCACGCGCACCCCCGGCTGGCCCGCGCTGCGGGTGCGCTCCGGTTCTCGCCTCTGCCGTGCTCAAGCGGGCGCCCTGTCTGTGCGGGGCCTCCGGGGGGAGGGTGCGGCTGCAGGCTGCAGGCTCCATGCGCAGCGGCAGGGCAGGGCCTGGCGGCCTCTAGGCCTCTGCAGGTGGAGGCAGCGGGGCGCAGGGGGTGGGCCGGGGTCGGTGCCCAGGGCCGCCCACGTGGCTGCTGGCCTGTCCGCGTGAGACGCGTGAGCAGCTGTGCGGGGCACCGCCTGGGCAAATGGGGTGGCTGGCTGTTGTGGGAACAGTGGTCCCGGGACCACGATGCAGGGCTGCCCCCTCCCGCAGGGATGCCCTGGGTTCCAGGCAGGCAGCCGGGCCGTCCCACGCCCCACAAGTGCCCAGGGTCGGCTCCGGTCCCTCCAGGGGGCAGCCGCAGCCCTGGGCGGGCGGGCCGGGAATGAGGAGGGGCTGCAGGTTCGTGCCCCAGCCGGCCGACTGTGGGCATGGTGGGCCGGGCCCCTCCAGGGGATGCCTCCGGGCCTGGGCTGGAGGCTGGAGGCCGCACACTGCTGCAGAGAAGCTGTGGGGCGGGCCGTTCCGGGTTGAGCAACCCCCTCAGGTGCATGAAGTCGGCGCAGCTTTGGGGTGGTAAGACCGCCTCTGAACCGCAGCGCTTCCCAAACAGAACGAGCATCTGACGCCCCCTTGCAAAGGGAAATCGGGGAGGAGGTGTGGGGGCACATGGATTTGAAGGAGTTTGGCCCTGGCACTAGTGAGCTTTTGGACAAAGAACGCCAGGAAAAAGTGCCCCGTGGAGCTGCCGTCCTTGGGCACTGTGGCCGTGGTCGTGCTCACGAGTCGGCTCCCCCGTGGCTTGCGGGCCCGAAGCAAGAGCAGGGGGCAGCCCGGCTTTGCTCCGGCAGCAGCGAGCTTGGGCCCTGTCCTCCACCCACGCTCGGAGCCCCCTCCATGGATGGCCCTCGCCTGTGCTGTAGGTGTGTGAAGGGCAGGCCCGAGTCCCCCCCCCCCGGATGCAGCTATCCGTGGCTTAGGAAGGAGGCGGTTCCGTGACCCTGAAAGACAAGGCTGTGCCAGCGCCTGTTTACATTCCTGTAAAATGTGATTAAAAAGAGGTTACTTTTGCCTGCGTGGTGCCTGGAGACCGTTTTGCTGCAGAATGAAGTTTTTTCCACCTCACACCTTGGAGCGCTTGCCTGGCCTTGTGGGCGCCAGGACCGAATCCCACTTTTGTGGGCAACACACATGGAGAGATTAAATGTAAGCACACAAACATGTCCGTGGGCTTTTGTTGATGGAGTCTCTTTATGCACGTTTGCGCCCTGGGATGGTGTTTCCACAGAAAGCGTCGCGAGCAGAGGGATCTCGCGGCGGCTAAGATGCCAGGCGCCCGGGCGCTGCCTGTCAGGCGGCCTCCTCCTCCTCCTCCTCCTCGTCCTCTCCGGTGGCCGTCAGGACCTCGTAGATGACGGCGCAGACGCCCAGCAGCCAGGCCAGCACGGTCCCGGCGGAGAAGATGCAGAAGCCGACCAGGCCCAGGAAGAGGTAGTCGCGGTCATCCAGGTGGATGTGGCATCTGAAGTGGAGCTGTTCCTGCGCCTCCGCCAGCATCCGCAGCCCGTGCATGAAGGCCGGGCCGTAGCACGTGACGTTGTCTGGGTCTGCGGGGAAGCACAGGCGGTCAGCGAGGCCAGGCACGGCCGTGCAGGGGCCCAGGGCCGGCCCCCGGAATGCAGCTGTGGGGGCGAGGAAGTGAGCGAAGAAAGCCCCCCCCCCCCCCCCCGCTTGGAGCCCCGATCAGCAAATTCCACCAGAAAGCTCTTCAGTGCCTCCGGGGCGGGCGCCCGTGCTGAGCTGTGGAACTCCCTGCCTCAAGGAAACTGTTGCGGCTGAGAGTGCAGACACTCCCAGGGTGGGGTCAGCTGTCAGCACACCACGATCGACACTGGCCACAGCCAGCCCGTCTCGCCGAACTCTGTGGCCAGCTGCCCCCAGCGCCAGGCCGGCCCCGACTCGGCACTGACGGCCTGCGACTGATGGGCCCAGTTGCCGCCAGTCAGCCCTCCCGTGGGCGCTGGAAGCAGGAGGTCCGAGAACCTTGCTCCGACGGCAAGAGACCCAGCTTGGTGCCAGAGCCTGCTGGGCCACCTCCACTCCTGCGTGTGTGAACACTGGTTCCCTGCCACCTCTCTCCAAATTTCACCCGCGGGCGTCGGGCGTGCGGCAGGCTCTGCCAAAGGCTCTGCTGAGGCGAAGCCGCCCGGGACGGTGGGGGCCGGGGGCCGTTTGCGTGTGGCGCCCGGCAGACGCGTCAGCTCGGGCGAGGGGCAGGAGGAGCCCTCGCTCACCCGGCGCTGAGCCTGGCCTGTGGGCTGAGCAGGAGGCCTGAGGAAGCGGCGTTGCGCATGCTCCCTGTCGCCCACAGGGCCAGAGCGCCTGTCCTGGCATCCGGGACTCGGGGGCGCCCCCAGGGACACGGGCAGCTGCCCCGCAGGCATGTCGCCCCGGCAAATGCAAGTGCACAAGAGCGGAGGGGGGCAGGAACAGCGGTCCAAGGAGGCCGCCCTGGCCCTGCCCGTTATCGGCGCCATCTCGCTCGGGCGGCTGACATGGAACGGGATGGTCTCGTCTTGTCTCGTCTCGTCTCACTCGCAGGAGGAAAGAGGAGCTCTGGCACCAGATAAGCTTGCAGCCGGCATTAAAGTTTAACCACTGCTTGCTCGCTGGCGCGCTTGCGCAGCCTGGTGAAATGAGAACAAGGAGTCTGTCTCACACACCTTGTCGCGCTTTGAAGGGCGAAGGGGCAGGGAACTCGCTGGAGCAGATGAGAAGGGGGCTGGCCCGGCCTCAGAAGCGGGTGCCCCCCCCGCCCTCCAGCTCCCTTTCCCTGATGCTCGGATGCCTGCAGTGGAAGCATGCTGTGGCAGCACAGCCGTGGGGGGCCACAGCTGGCTGGGGGGGGTGATCTGGGGAAGCCCCGGCTGCACGCCAGGCAAGTGAAAGGCCGAGCCACTGGTTGGGCCCAGAGGGCCTTGCCAAGCTGCACAGCCACAAAGAACGCAACCTTAATGGACCTCACGGATTCTGGGGGCTAAAACCGGGGGGGGGGGGAGAGTGGAGACGGCTGTGTGCTCCGCGAATGCTGGCAGGAGGCCTGGGGCCCTAATCGCAGGTGGAAGCGAGCAGCCAGGAAGCAGCTGCACGCTGGCTCGGCCTTGTGCAAGCGCCTCCCCAGTAACCGCAGCGGCCCTGCACTTGGCTTGGGCATGGCTTGTGGGGCTCCTCCTCGCTCAGCCCCCCAGCAGGAGAGGGGCAGCTGGCCTTCCGCCGGCCTGCCCTTGCTCTAGGGGTGGACTGAGGAGGGCTTCATTCTGCGCCTCAGGAGGGCCGGACGGTGCTCAGCGCAGCAGCCCGGCGGGAGCGGCAGAAGCGAGCCGGTGCCTCTGCCAGCGGGCTGGGCGCTGCTCGGGGAGGGGGGCACGCCATGCTCACCGGGGATCGTGACCCCGCTCTCCTTCACCCAGCTGCTGAGGCCCATGAAGGAGCAGTTGCAGAACCAGGGGTTCCCGCTCACGGCCAGGCTCCGCAGGTTGGGCAGGTCCCGGACGGTGCTGGTGTCGAGGAACGTCAGGCGGCAGCGGCTCACGTCCAGGTGCCTCAGCCAGGTGTTGTTGGCGAAGGAGTCCTTCTCGATCTCCACCAGGCCGGGGTTGTCGGAGAGCTTCAGTACCACCAGGCTGCTGAGCTGCGAGAAGGTGCTGAACGTGACCTGGGTGAGGTTGTTGAAGCTCAGGTCCAGGTAGACCAGCTTGATGATGCTGACAAAGGCGAAGTCCAGGTCCTCGCCCAGGGCGTTCCCACTGCAGTCCAGGTAGATCAGGTCGCTGAGGAAGTTCAGCTCCACCGAGGGCAAGTAGCTGAGCCGGTTCCGAGCCAGGACCAGCTGCCGCGTGTCCAGCGGGATCGGGGCGGGGAAGTCCTCCAGCTGCTTGTCCGTGCAGTTCACGGACAGGTACTGGCAAACACACGCCTCGGGGCAGCCCCCGCCTTCCGCCCTCCAGCAGATTCCCAGGAGGAGCACCATCCACACGTGCCTGGAACAGCTCGGGGGGGACAGGATGTGGCCCTGCGCGCAGCCCGGTTTGCCCCAAGCGCCGCTGGGGGCTCCCCACAGCCCGGGGGGAGAAGCCATTCCCTCCTGACGCTAATCGCAAGGGGAGCTGAGCCGGCCGACCGGCCGGCCTCCCGAGAGCGCCTCGCTCATCGAGACCGCTGGCAAGCTGCCGACTTCAGCACCTGGGCAGGAGCTCACTTTCTCGAGAGTACAAATAGCCTCTCGCCGCAGGGCGCATCGCCGTGTCGCGCTGGCTGCTGGCTGGCACCTCGGCGTCCTCCCCAGGGAAGGTCACGGGCGGGCTCCGACAGAGCACGTGAGGGCGAGTGTCGCTGTCGCCGGCTTGTGTGCCGGCGGCGCAGTTTGCAGGTGGCCGGGCGCGTTTTCGGGGGATCCAGCATTGGTGGGCAGGCAGCCCTCGCATGGAGGAGCATCCCTGCACCCCCGCCCCCCCTTTTGAGGAGCGCACTGGGGAGCCAGTCTGGCGCGCCCCCTCACTTGTCCTCGTGTGCCCCGTGCCGCCTTTGCGGGGGGCCCATTAAGCCAGGACAACGGGCGCCTAGGCAGAGGCTTTGCGAATGCACCAGGAATCCACGGAAGGTCTCGCTTTGAGTCGAGCATCCGCATGCCTGGGGTCACGGGGGCTTTTTGCCCCAGGAAGGGGCCACAAGCGCAAACACGGCTGGGGGACGGGGATCCTACGTGCCCGCTTGGTCCCCTGCGAGCAGGGGCTGGAGCTGAAGGCCTTGCTGGAGCCCTTCCACTTGCTTTATTCCAGGACCCCTAGAAGGCATGCATACAGGCCTTTCGGAAAGGGGGCCGCTTATTTCGAGCTGGTCGACTCGGCTGATAGTGATCCGGAACAGGGAGTCTCTACCTGGCCAAACTTTAGAGGATGTTGCAGCAGCCATTTTGAAATGGGCACGTTCGCCTTACGTCTGTGAAAAAGCAGGACAAAGGGAAGCCCCACTGGGAATGGGGTCCCCCCCCACCCCCGCATTGAAAAGGCACACCGGGGGAAGGAGGCTCCCTGCCGGCGCCTCCGAGGGATTTGGCCGGCCGAGGAGCCGTGTGGGACTGCCCTGTCTGGCTCTGCTCCTGAAGCAAGGCGGAGCCGTGCGATGCCGACTTAGCGGGCATTCCAGCGTGGGATGCTCGGGGAGGGGGGTGGCAGTGAGCGGCTCTGCCGTGTCCTGTCTGGCTGCAGGCTGGCGGGGGGAACGTGCCTCTCAGCCGAGCCGCACAAGATGGTGCATTGCACCTCTGATTCACGGTCCGAACCCTCTTGGCCATGGCCGAGCCGGAGGCAGGTTCCGCCGCTGGGTCATGACTCGGCTTAGGAGGCCAGCTGCGAAGAGGGGCAGAGATGCAGCGATGACTGAAGGGCCGGATTCCCCTGCTGGGAGAGCCCGTCAGGAGAGGAACTTCAGCAGTCCCTTGCTAAGCCAGAGCTGAGGCTGCAAAACCTTCCCCAGGAACAATGCTGCGCAACACATTTCTTGCCTGAAATACGGATGAGCCCTTGTCTGCCCGGGATTGCCTGAACCGTTCGCAAGCTCAGGCTTGCCTTGAAGTGTGGGCCACTGTCCGATTGTGGGCGTGTCGTGAGCGGAGCCGGCTGGTGCCGGGGGTCAGACTAGATGGCCCGGGAGGCCCCTTCTGACTCGCTCTGCTTCTATTGTGTGCAACACTCTCTTGCCTGACTTGCATCTGCTTTGAAGCATTTGCTGCTGCACTCCCAGCCTGGGATCAAGCGCTGGGGTTGATGTTGGGCCACGTATGAATTCTACCCTTGGGACTCTTGCCTGAACAAAGCGATGTGCCAAGAGCCTTTGGCTGTTCATTTGTTGGAGCTAACATTTATTGGCACGGTAAGGTTTGCCGACCAATCGCAACGAAGAGCTTTTTTGTGCCCAGCGATTTGTGCCGACGTGCCAGGGTGCGATAGGGAGTTGGGCAATTCGCGTGGACGGCAGTGGTGCTGGGAGTGTCCGCAACGCCCGGCAGGTAGCTTTCCGGCAGGCTTCCCGGGCAACCTGAAGGCTCAGTTGCCGTGCACGGCACGTAGCGTGCGGTGCGGGAGCTTCCGCCTCCCGTGTGCACCGCGGCTGATGGAAAAGCCACTTGAGTCTTAAGATGAAGTTGACAGCAGAACCCCCAGGAGCCGCAGGAGGAGCCGCCTGCCCCCTTCGTGGGCGGCCCCCAGAAACACGGCGCGCACTGGCCCATCGGGACGAGGCTGGGACCGTCCCCCCGGGACCCCGGGCCTCAGCTGGGCGAGGGGCGCGTGCCCGTGTCCACGTGAGGGTGGGGTGGAGCCCTGCCCTCCTGCCACCTGGCAGGCGCTGCTGCCTGTGCCCGGGGGAGGGGTGTGGGGGCACGCTGCGGGCCCAGGGCTGCTCCCCCTGGGGGGGCATCTCCCCCACAGGCCGTAGAAGGGAATGGCGATCTGGAAAAGCTTGGGAGGGATGCCCGTCCCCCCTGGCACATGAGCGCGGGGGGGGGTCTGCAGGGACAGAGGTGGCTCGGCCGCCCCACGGGCTCACCTCTCCCGCTGGGGGGGCTGCGTTGTCTGAATGCATCGCTGGAGGGGATGCGAGGCCCTCCGGGGGTGGGGGGGCTGCAACGGGCTGCGAAAGAAGGCGACGCGGCGGAGGCGGTGGTCCGTCTGCAGCAGATGTTGGCTCCCGCGCGGGCTCCGTCCGGGGAGCGGCTCAGAGCATCCTGTACTCCTCGTCCTCGGACTCGTCGTTCACCTTCGGCACCGGGTGGTAGTAGATCACGGCGCTGATGCCCACCAGCCAGGCGGCCAGGGTCCCCCCGAAGAAGATGCAGAAGGCGATCAGGGCCATGACCGCAAAGTCCCCCAGCTCTAGGTGCACGAAGCAGGTGTAGTGGATCCGCGAGGCGCCTTCCAGGACCTGCAGGCCCCGGACGTTGTCTGGCTTCTGGCACAGGGTCCTCTCGGGGTCTGCGGTGGGGGGGCGGGGGCACAGAAGGGGAGAAGCCCGTCGAAGGTTGAAACAGCTGCGGGTGTAGCTGCAATTCTGGCGCGAGTTAATCCCCGGTTCCTTTGCAGGGGGCAATGCCAGCACGACAAAGATTCAGGCCCACAGCGATTACACTGTCTGACAGACTAATTCATACAGATTCTGGGGTTTATTTGAAATTTGATCTCGTGAGATCAAATTTCACAAGATCTAAAGCAGGCCAATTTATTTCTCATTCGGATTATCTCAGTCAAAATAAATTATTCCGTTAATGTGCTCCCTGATGCAGTTCATCCCCAACTAGTGGGAAAACAGCCACTTCTCAAGTTTAAGTGGCCCCCCGGAGAGGACCACAGGGTGGGGCTGAGCTGCTGCACCCAGAAGTGGGGCCATTAGCCCTTCCCTTGGCAGCCGCAGTCCCGCAAAATCGCACCCCACGTGGCAACGGAGCTGCGAGGAAACCTCCCGCCTGCACCAGGGGACGCCAAGCACTGCAGAGCGGATCCGGGCCCAGGACGATGGTGCCTGGAAATGCCCTGCCTCTCGGCCGGGGACTTGAGAGACACAGAAAGTGATCGGCCTTTTTGTGTGCTGGAGCATCTGCCCGTGCACAGCATGGAATCAGCAAAGGAGCATCGCCAGGAAGGCGAACGGTTTGTAGCTTCAAGGGGAAGACAGCAAGCAACATCAGCACGACTAAAGATGGCGGGGAGCCCCTCTGCACGCACGGCTGTGCTCAACACGAGGCTCGCTGAGGTGCCCAGCGCCATGTTTAGCTGCGCCACGTGCAGATAGCCTGGAGCGGACTGTGGGCCCTTTGCACAGGTTTGCAGCCAGCCCAGGGACTTGCACACCCACCTTGGCAGGGACTTGCACACCCACCTTGCCTCCCAGCCTCGCACATCAGCCTGCCGGTGTACCTGTGCAACAGGACGACAGCTGCTAGTCACCAGATCGCTGCAGGCAGGACTTGCCCTGAATTCCAGGATCCAGGGATGAATCCCGGCTGAGGTTGCCCCTGGACACAGGTGTGATAACAGCCCGGGGTATTTCGGCAGCCGAGGTCTCTCAAATTGCTCAGAGCCCCTTCAGGAAAGTTCTGGCTCGAGGGAGAGACATTTTGGGGGAGGCGATTAATTCCCCCTTGCCAGCAGGAGTGGGGGAAGCTCCCTGCAGGGCACCGTGGAGAACCGTTATCCACATCGGATTGACCGGAGAGAGCCATTTCTGGAAAGGACCTTTCGCGCTGCCTGCAGGAGAGTGAAGCTCAGAGTCCATACTCCAGAAATGCTGCATGTCTCCAGGGGTCCCCCTTTCGCAGGGAGCACACCTGGGCCAGCTTGCCCTTGGGGTTTCCACTGCTCCAATAAGTGCAGCGCACACCATGGCAAGTTTAACAGCCCCACATGCTTCGTTGTTTAGTTCATCAATGACCCTTTTCAGTGCACACTGCGAAAAGATCTTGCTAATGTGCTGAAAGCATAAGTGGTCGTAGATGAATGTGGTCGGAGTGCCACCCACTTCAGTGAGCCTGTTCTAAATGAGATTAACAGTGGATGCCAGCCAGTGTCCTCCTTGAGCGAGCATATATTATACAGCAGAAAACCGGGGAAGACTGTTCCAGCATACCACTCCGAACTCTCCGAAGCGGCTCCGCATGCTCCGCGCAGCAGACGTGGGGCGTGCCCATCAGCCCCGTCCCGCCACGCGTGGGGGAGCTTCCTGCATGCATGCAGGTGTCTGGGGAGCCATGGACGCAGCCGTGCGGGCCAGCCACGCCCAGGGGAGCGAGCGAGCGAGCGAGCCGGCGCAGAGCCTCTCCGCAGCACCGTGGCAAACGGAAGAGGCACGCGGCACGCGGGAAGGCCTCACCTGGGTACTGGACGTGGGCCTTCTTCATCCAGTTGCAGAATTCCAGCAAGCTGCAGTCGCAGCTCCAGGGGTTCTCCGCCAGCCCCAGGGAGTGCAGGTTGTGCAGCTGGCGGAAGGTGTCCGCGCCGACGGAGGTCAAGCCGCAGGCGCGCAGGTCCAGGTACCTCAGGAGGGGGTTGCTGTCGAAGGCGTGTGCCTTGATCTCCACCAAGGTGGGGTTGCTGGAGAGATTCAGCAGCAGCAGCCCCTGCAGCTGCGAGAAGGTGCGGGGGGTTATGCGCAGGATCCGGTTGAAACTGAGGTCCAGGTACGTCAGTTTGACCATTCTGGGAAAGGTGAAATCGAAGCTCATGTGTAAGAGGTTGCGGCTGCAGTCCAGGTAGACGAGGTCGTTGAGGTAGCTCATTTCCATCGGCGGCAAGCTGGCCAGGCTGTTGTTGGCCAGAACCAGCACCTTGGTGGTCAGTGGGATGGCGCTGGGGACACGGTCCAGGCCCCCCCCTGTGCAGGCCACTTCCCACCTTTCGCAGGTGCAGCCCTGGGGGCAGCCAAGGCCCTCTTCGGCCCAGCTGAGTCCCAGCAGAAGAGCCACGCACAGGCCCACGGGACTCCAGGGAGGAGGCGGGAGGAGGCGCCCCATCCCGCAGGGCTCCCTTCCGGCTGCCTTCCTCCTAAACGTTCCCGGTGGCGCTGGCCATCTCTCCGGCTCCGAGAGGAGAGAGCAGCGGTTCCTCAGGGGCTGCCTCTTGCCTTTGTGACATCACCAGCACGGCTCACAAATCCGGGCTGACGATGCATCCGCTGCGCGCCTGCCCGGGCCGCACGTCCACCGCTGCCTCACGCAGAAGCCAAGGCCCAGGGTGCTGTGTAGCCCAGATGCACAGCAGCACCTCACAGACACTCAGAAAGCGCACTCATCACAGGGTGTTACACCGAACACACTCACACATCAGCCTCGTCTGGGTGCAAAAGGCCACGTGTGGCTGCACACGGTGAGGGTATGCGTGTGCGTGTGTCTGCATTTACATGCATGTGTGCGATGGCCCAGACACACCTGTCCCTCCTGCGGGGTGGGGTGACTGCCCGATGTCCAGAGGAAACACGAGCCACGTCGGCTCCGGTGCAGGTGCAGGTGCGCTGGAAGTGTGGGCAAAACGGGAGAGGCAGACGCTGGGCAGGGGGCAGAGCAGGGGCTCGTCTCTTGCCAGAGGGGACCATGGCGTGTGCGATTGCTGACTCTGCTGGTGCAGCCTTGGCACAAGGCCTGGTTCACCTGTTCAGAAGCAAGAGAGCTCTTCCCATCTGTGGCACAAGAGCAAGAGGAACACGCCTAAGGAGCGGGTGAAGGGCAACTTCCAGAGCTACAATGTGAATTGATCAATTGACTCAACCGACAGGTGAAGCTGTTTGACCTACTGTATTAAAAATACATCTGATTTAATTGAGGGCAACTCCCAAATGGAGATCAGGGGAGCTTTGGGGTGTCCTTTAATAAGATGCACCATCATTCTCCCCTTCTGGGAACATTTTTTTGTTCACAGCGGGGAGGGAGGTGGCAGTACAAAGCTGGTTGATGTCCCAGCATCCCCGTGCCAGAGAATTTCACTTGGGGCTCCCCTGGGGTGCCAGCTGCACCAGAAATCAAAGATCCGTTTTCGCCTCCATCCAGACCTGCTTCAGGATGCTATGCCTGGATTGGGCCTCATGTCCTGGCCTCCTGCAGCCGTGGCTGGGTCTGCACACACCACAGAACGAACGCAGTGGTTAAAGGTACGTTTTCTGCATTTCCCCAGAGCAGAAAATATGTGTCAAGGCAGTGAGTGGCGCTTATGCACTTCCGCCCACCTTGAAAGAAAGACTCCCTGCATTTTCCAGGTGTCCTGCCGTCCAAGGGGCTTTGCTCTCGGACCCGGGAAGCCAGCCTAGCAACGGTTGTCAGGGGAGCTCTGACTCCCAGCGAGTTTTCCTGGCGACTCTGCTCTGGCGCATTGTGACACAGGCCTGCTGCCGGCGCTGCTCTCCAGCTGGGCACGGAGTCACTCCCACAGTGCTGGCGCGCTGCACGGAAGATCCAGTGCCTCTCTCCACAGCTCGAAGGCAGCAGCTCCTGGAACGCGCCCCGCCAAGGAGCCACAGTGCCAGCAGGAACCATGAAGACCGAGGAGAAGAAGCAGGTGGAGTTCTCAACCCTGGGCAAGGTCGCGGCTCACGTCCCTGACCTCATCGTGTATGGCGATTTCTCGCAGGACGTGCCTTTCATCGAGAGCTTTGACGGCGTCCTGCTCTTCGTGGACATCTCAGGTGGGCAGGAGCACCCAGGGCTCCCGCCGTGGGGGCTGCTGGGCACGGGCACGGGAAGCCAGCTGCCTGGAAACACGGAACACGACGCTGCAGATACTCTGAGCCTTTGGCTGCCCAGACAGGGAATGGCTGGACTCTCACAGGGACGCTTCGGCCCTGCCCAGCCTGCCGTCCCCTTTGGCCACCACCGCCTCGTCCCCAGGAGGACAGTCCCTTGTCTAGAGGAAGGAGTGGCCCCTGGGACCCCACCGGCCGCAGGTTCCCTACCAAGAAAGGATGCCCTGGCACCATTTCAGTGGGGAAGCGCCCGGCACGGAGGTGTCGCTGCGAGCCTGTGGCAGCTGGCTCCCGTCTCTCCCCAAGACAAGGGGACGCGGAGAGCGCTCGTGGCAACCGTGGAGCTGGCTGGGAACTCTCGTGACCGTCGGGGAGCTCCGGGTCCAGCCAGGGCCTGCGTGAGGGCGACTTTTGCCAGGCCTGGCTTGGGACAGAGGGCACTTAAAGTCAGCGAGCCCCCCCGTCCGAGCACTCGCCCTGCGCCTTGTGAAGCCGCACATGCAGCTGGGCAACATCCCATGACTGCACAAGGGGCGCCCCGTCCCCGGGGGGAGGCTCTGCAGCGCCGGCAGACGGGCTGTGCAGACAAGGTCCACCATGGGCAGACGCCACGCAGAGATGTCGCTTGCACCTCCAAACCCGAGGAGCAAGGAGGCGAGCCTGAAAAATGGTGACCCCCCCCCCGTTTTTTATACGATGCATCATGGAATTCGAGGATAGGCTGCCCTTCGCCTGAGAAACTTGTCCCCAAAAAGTCTTCTGTGTGAAAAGCAACACTGGCCGCGGTTCGCCCGATCACCCCCGCCTGCAGGTGAACACGGGTAGCATCCCAATCGGGTTCCTCGTGCTCTGGTGACGCAGCCCGAGCCGGCCTTGGCCACGCGAATCCTGGCCCTGCAGCAGCCAACGAGAGGAGAGCACGCAGGCCGGCGCCGTCTTCCTCACCGGCACGCGCTGGCCGTGTGTTCATGGGGTTGCGACACCTGTGGGGCTTGCAAGCCCCGGAGAGAGCGGGACCCCGGCCAGCTTCATCAGTGACATGGAAGGAGGGTGAACAGTCTGCTGATCAAATTTTCAGACGACACTAAAACTGGGGCAGTGGCCACAACTGAGGAGCAGGTACTCCAGATCCAAAAGGATCTGAGCAGGCTATGGAAGTGGGCAGGAGACAACAGGATGGCGTTCAATGTGGATAAGTGCAAGGTCTTGCACTTGGGGCACAGGAATGGGTGTCATAAGTACAGGTTAGGGGACAAGTGGCTGGAGAGCAGCACTTGTGAAAGGGACCTTGGGGTGCTGGTTGACTGCAGGCTGAACATGAGTCAGCAGTGTGATGCGGTGGCCAAGAGGGCGAACGCCACCCTTGGTTGCACAGCCAGAAGTGTGGCTTCTAGATCGAGAGAGGTGTTACTGCCACTCCATATGACTCTGGTGCACCCGGAACTGGATTATTGTGTTCAGTTCTGGGCTCCACATTACAGGAAGGATATAGCCAGGTTGGAGTCGGGGCAGCGTAGGGCCACAAGGTTGGAGGCCGGTTTGCAGGGGATGCCGTATGAGGCGAGACTGGGGGAACTGGGTCTCTTCAGCCTGGAGGAGACTCAGAGGGGATCTGTTGGCGACATGTAGGTATGTAAGGCGATGTCACACAGAGATGAGGAGAGACCTGTTCTCCCCTGCAGAGGAAGGCAGGACATGCTCCAGCAGAGCAAAGCTCAAGGAACCCAGGTTCTGTTTGGATGCCAGGAAGCACTTCCTGACAGCTGGGGCCCCAAGGGTGTGGAATGGGCTTCCACGAGAGGTCGCTGAGGCCTCATCGGAGAGGGTGTTCAAGGACAGGCTGGACATGCACATGGTGGGCATGTCGTGAGCGGAGCTGGCTGGAGTGGGGGTCAGACTAGATGGCCCAGGAGACCCCTTCTGACTCGCTCTGTTTCTATGTTTCTGCCCCCCTTTTGCCTGCCATGGCCTGGCAGAAGCAGCAACAGTCTTCCCAACAGGAGGAAGCGGAGATGCTCCCGGGGGCAGAGGAGAGAGGCAGGCAGGGCAGGGCAGCTTCTGGGCTGGGGAGGGCAGGTGCAGGCAGGCGGGAGGGGTGCTGGGGATTCTCTCCCCAGTTAGACCTTGCCCTGAGCCAGGGGAACGCTGAGGGGCTTGGGAATGGGCTCTTATTTGAGGCACGTGTCCCTGCAGCTCCATCGCTCAGAGCACATCGGCACCCCCTCTTTGATATCGGGGCCGGTCCCCAGCTCCCTCGAGGGCCTGCGCTGCGGCAGGTGGCAGGGCAGGCAGGCCTCCCGCCCAGGCCCGGCCCGAGGGCCCCCATCCGCGTGCACGGCCCCTCCACGCACAGCTCTCCTCTGCAGCCCTGAGTTGTGGGAATCCCCACAAGGCTGACGCGTGTCCCTTGCAGGTTTCACGGCCCTGACAGAGAAGTTCAGCATGAACACCAACCTGGACCGTGGCGCCGACGAGCTGACGCAAGCCCTCAATCACTATGTGGGGGACATTGTGGAGGGTGAGTCCAGCAGCCCTGCACGGCCTGGCCCCAGACGCTACGGATCCGCCCCCAAACGCACCGTGGGGCTCCGGCGTTTTGCAGGCATCCCCTTTCCCTTCCACTTCCATTACTGCATCCCTGAGCCAGAGCTTCCCCACAGCGCTGCGCAGGAATTCGCGCCGTGGGGCTGCGTGACCCGTCTCTCTTCCACGAGCAAAAGGGAGGCGCAGCAGCACTGCCGGAAACCCCACAGTGCTTGGCTATACTACCGGCTGCACTTTTTGTGTCATTGTGGAACTATCGCCCTTTTTGTTCTAAGCGAGCCAGAACACCGTTTAATGGCAATTAAAAGAGGAATTAAAATAGTCTGGCCTTCTCCCATAATTTCTCCCCCAATTCTTTTTTTTATCTGCAGAAGTGCTGGTGTTTGGAGGTGACGTCTTGAAATTTGCAGGTACGGAGTATGGAGAAAAGAGGTTTTAAAAACGGCACGGGCCAGCTGGGGGAGAATACGTAGCTGGATTTGAACACGGAGCCCAGCCAATCACCCTGGCTCCAGCCAGGCACAGCCGGGATGCGCGAGCACTGGCTCGACGGGTCACCTTAAACTCCAGCGCAGCCGCGGGTGCCGTCGGTGTCCTGCTAGCGATGGCCAGTGCTGGCGCTGCCTTTGGACACTGCCCCCGAGCCCCAGGGTGGGTGTCATTCCGCCGTCAGCTTTCAGGGACTGGGCCCAGCCACGGCTGCGCCGCTCTGCCCAGCAGTCCTCGCACTTCTGCTGTCGGTGCAAAGCCTGAGATCCGCAAAGGGAGGCTGGCGGGCATCTTTGCTCCTCCGCCTCCGCAGTCGAGCGGGACGGGCAGTCGGTGAGCGCAGATCAACCCTCTCGGTGCGCGTGGGGTGCCGCTGCCCTGCCGCGCCGTGTGCCCCCGCGGGGGCGTGCGAAGAGGGACTGGCGTGTGCCGTCCGGTGGACAGAGAGCGCAGGCCGGCTTGGGCCAGGCTGGGCCAGGGAGCTGCTGCTTCCCACACGCAGAAACACAGCAGGTCCGCGGGGGCCCCCCAGGCCACCAAGACCGGCTGAGGCCTGGCCCCACTGGCCGTCCCCAGCGTGGGGCGCCCAGCCCGGCACATCCGGCTCTTCCCCTCCGCCCTGCCCAGGGGACGCGTTGCTGGCGCTCTGGAAGGTGGAGCGCTGCCACATCAACGACATCATCACCCTGGCTCTGAAGTGCAGCTTCAGCATCCAGCAGGAGTACGGCGTCCGCGACACGGAGGTGGGGCTGGAGCTGCGAGTGAAGATAGGTACGCTCTCCCGCCCAGCGTGGCTCTGCAGCCCTCATTTGTGCAGGGCGTGGCACATGGGCCAACTTACTCTGCGCTGAGTAAAATGGAGGTGCGGGATGATGGGAGCGGCAGGGCGACAGTGCGCAGGTACTCCTGCCCTGGCCCTGGCCAGGGCACTGCAGGGGGCAGAGGGACCCGGGTCCAGGTCCCACTCGGCCACGATGCTCCCTGGGTGACTTTGGGCCAGGTACGGATGCTCAGCCAAACCTACCTCACGGGGATGTTGTGAGGATAAGATGGAGAGGAGGAGGACCATGCAAGCGGCTTTGTGTTCTTCACAAGAGCAAAAAAAGCACGATGGGAGACTAATAACGCAAAGGCACAACAAATTGCAAAATAAACAGCCCTGACGACGCTCCCACCGAACAGCCAGGAGAACAGATGGCGCTCTCCTGGCCGGAAGCAGGCAGGGCGGCCACGGCTGAGGCAGGCGGCACTCGGGGGCTGGCCGGGGCGTGTGGCGCGTGCTGCTCCTGGAGACAAGGGGGTGTGGGTGCACAGTGCGCCCCCCGCCACCTCGCCGCCTCCACGGCCCCTGCCGCCAGCCGCCCACAGCTTCAGCCGGCCTTGCGGCAGCGCCAGCCCCGGTCCCGATTCCCGGGCTTCACCCAATTTCACGTTCCACCAGGGATACGTGAGCAACGGCACCTTGGGTGCTGCAGCAACTGTTGGCTCAAGTGCCAGCTGCGGAATAAATGCTGCGAGCGCGTGGAACATCCAGCAGTCCCTGCACTGGCTGCTCTTTTTGCGGACGACTGCCATGTTCCGCGCATTTTTCGGTGATATAGTTTGCTCTTTACAGCGCTAATCTTATTTATTTATTATTTATATTTACACACGTATTTGTGGGCTGCCTATAAGTGCTGAGGCCTTCCTGGGAGACTCGCTGTACATAATATCGAAAGCACGCTACCTGAATGTGGCCGCGAGAGGCAGCTGCACAGTCGAGAAGCGTCGTCTTTTGCAGGACTGTCGGCCGGTCACATCTCCAAGGTGGTTGTGGGAGACAACCGGCACCAGTACTTCCTGGTCATCGGCCGCGCGGTGGACGAGGTGCGGCTGGCCCAAAATTTGGCGAAGGCGAGTGAGATCATCCTGTCACCCAACTGCTGGGAGCTGTGCGACCGGAGCCTGGTTGAGGTGGAGAGGATCAAGGACGAGCGGGCAGTCAAGGTGGGCAGCCGCCAGGTGCGCGTGAGGCCGGAGTGTCCCGCCGGCCGCCTCAGGGCTGCCCAGCTGCAGCATCCCCAGCCTCGAGCCGGACGTGGCTGCACTGGGACGAGGCTGAGCCCGAGGCCACGGCTCCGCTGGACTGCAAGCAGGATGGCCGGGAGGCCACGCGAGCCTGGCCTGCAGCCGGGCTCCTCCTGGCCATGCCCAGCAGCAGCCCGTCAAGGTTGGAGCACAGGAGCGGCCAGAGGCCCGGTCTGCTAGTCGCCCTTCTGGCCCGGCTGCTGCCTGCCGCTCCCCACCAGGGCCTTGCCCAGGCCTTCACACCAGGCTGGCACTGGCTGCTGTGGGGCGCGCGTCCCAGTGCATGGGCCCGGCGTGTGGCGCTCTCGCCCGCAGCCTGCAGTGCCCCAGGCTCCCTCTCTCACAAGCTCCGGACCAAAGGGAGCGAACGCTCCACACCACCCGGCGCGCTCCCTCCCTGGAGTGACGGTGCGAGCCCCGCGCTGCGCTGCAGGCAGGAGGGACGAGCGCGGAGAAGAAAGTGGGCGCTGGCTGGTTCCTCTTGTGGGGCGCAGCTCCTGCTTGGGGGTTGCTGACGGGGGACACGGCCGCCCTCAGCAGGGGCCTGGGCAGCTGTTTCTGCAGGAGGCTTGCTCACTCCGCTCACCTTCAGTTTAGATACATCAAGAACGTCCCTGAATCCAACCCGGAGGAGTTCTTCGAGAGATGCACGCAGTACCTGCACCAGAACCGCATCTGCGACACCTTCGGTGAGCCCCGGCTGCTAAGGGCGGCGGTGCCCGCTCCGCCCGGCCTCCCCGCGCTCTTTCCGGGGCTGCCGGGCCGTCGCAGGACCTCTTGCACCGCGGGCGCGCAGCCCTGCGCTTGGGGCAGCTCCGTGCCGCGGCGCGCACCGGGACAAGCGCTCCTGGGCGGCGCGCCGCCTTCCCCGGACACCGGGCGGGCGGTCGCTGCTGCTCCGGCCGTGAGAGGCCCCGGCTGCGACGCCCGGTGGGCGGAGGAGTCCGCCCCTTCGCCCGAGCGCTCCCCTCGGCGCAGCCGGGCGCAGCGGCCCGTCGCGGATCGAGACGGCAGCCGGGCCGCAACCGACTGAGCCAGCCAGCGCGCACGGGGCTCGGGGCGGAGGGAGCGGCGGGGCCACGCCGGCCCCGCGCTGAGCGCCCTCGCCCCCCGCGCAGAGATCCTGCGCAACGCCTCGGTGCTGGCGCCCGACGCGAAGCTGGAGCGCCACCTGCGCAAGTACGTGATGAGGAACGTCCTGAGGAAGGTGCGTCGCCCCCGCGTGTCCCGCCCGGCAGCCCCTTCCCGACCCTCCGGCGAGGGCTGCCCCCGCGCTCGCGCCGCCTCTCCCCGCCCGGCCCGCGGGAGGAGGGGGCCCCGGGGCGAGGCGCCCCGCCGGGACTGCGCCCGCCGCCGCGCTCCCCGCGTCCGGACACGGCGCCCCCGGGGCTGGCGCGGCGGAGCGGCCGGGCTCCTCGAAGCGCCTCCCGGGGCTGGGCTGCCCGCTGGCGGAGGCGGCAGGCCGGCGGTCTGTCCTGCGTTGCAGATCGACGACAACCAGCCGCTGGAGTACCTGTCGGAGCTGCGCCCGGTCACCATCGTCTTCGTGAACCTGCAGTTCGACGCCAGCGCCAACACCCAGCACATCTGCAAGGCCATCCAGGACGCCAACACGAAGGTCACCGGCATCATCGACCCGCTCAGCGGCAAGATCAACAAGGTCTTCATGTTTGACAAAGTGAGTGGGGGGCGTGGGGGGAGTGGCGCCCTCTCCCCTTCTGGAGCTCCCTCTCTCCGTGTCCGCCTGCACATGGGAAAACTGCGGAGGCCCGGCGGGTCTGCGCCCTCTTCCCCCATGGCTGAGAAGGGGGCCGAGTTGGTGGGCCCCAGGACCTCTGGCACCCCTTCCCTCACGCCTCTGCTCTGAGCTCCCTGCCGAGTCCGGGTGGGGGGGGGGCGTCACGGCACACTTGGACTTTGGTCCCACACAGTGAGGGGCCGCCCGTCCCCGGGCAGCACACACCTTTCCTTGGGCGGCCGCCCTCCCGCATCCCGCTCCCCGTGGCCCAGGCTCCCCAGCGATTCTTCCTCGGCAGGCTCTCCACGGGCCTCTCCCCCAGTGGCCGAAGGCACTGCCGTGGCTCCAGAGGCTCCGCCGAAGCAGTCCTCTGCTCCTCCTGCTCCCAGGGGTTGTCCTCTGCCGGGAGCCTCCTCCCCACTGGCTTGCCTCCGCTCCCCCCTGCCCCCCACTGCCTTGGACTCTGACTTCTGTGCCACTGGTGCCCCCCACCCAGGCACACGCAAATTACCCTGCCCCTCCATCAGGGGAGGTGATCAGTCCCAGGGCACGTCCCTCCCCAGGCCCAGCAGCTGCTAGCAGACCACCCTTTGCTGATGGCGAATCCGCGTCTTTTGCGGATTTCCTGTGAAGAGCAGCACTTTTTAGACCTCTCCATAGGCATATCTGGGCAGCGTCATTTAGAAATCTAGGTTAACATTAACACTGGAAAACAGATGAGGTTTACCCTGAAAAAAATGAAACCTATCCAAGGGAGATCAGGACTAATTCCAGGTTTAGTGTTATGATGACAAGATACTTTGGAAGATGCAGGGTTGGCAGAAGAGAAAAGTCGCTGCGCTGCATCTTTAGATCTTGTATGGAAGCCCTGCTGAAGATGCGAGGGGTGTTGAGAAAGGAGTGCGGGAGAAACGAAGAGGGGTATCAGCCGTCAGTTAGATTTAAGACATCACCTTTATAACGAACCCTTCATCAGAGTATGGGATTCACTCATGTGGAGTTTGCTTAGGAACATAGCACTGGTTTATTTTATTGTATGGTTTTCAGACTTCGTTTATCTACTATTCTGTTTGGTTTCCCTGTTATGTTTTAATGGGTCGACTGTCCTGTTTCTGTATAAGTTTAGCAGATCTGCTCTGGAAAGGCTTGGTCTGAAAAGCAGCACGCAAGGAAGGAGCTGAGCTGCCCGTTTGCTCTCTGTTTCCCCGCCAGGGCTGCACGCTGCTCTGCATCTTTGGCCTCCCAGGGGACAAGCAAGCCGACGAGAGCACCAACGCGCTCGACAGCGCCCACAAGATCCACGCCTTCTGTACCACGTCTCTCATGAAAGTGAAGTAAGCGAGTGCGCAGGCGCGTGCCGTCCGCCTCTCGCCTTGCCGCGCCAGGGGGGGCCGCGGCCCCCTCCTCGCGGCGGCTTGCAGCCCACGGCAGCGTGCTGGCTCACCCGGCCCCCGCGGCACTCGCCAGAGGAAGCTGCTGCCTCACCGCCTGGCCGGGCAGGCGGGCCGGAGCCGGAGGGCAGCGGGGTGCCAAGGAGGTGGAGCACCTGGCCGTGCGCAGGTCAGGTCCTGCGAGGGCCGCCTGCTGCAAGGGCCTTCCGCACGACCCCCGAAAGGCGCAGCCCGGCCCAGCTGCGCGTCCCGCCTCCTGCCAGGGGGCCTCTTCGCTGCCTGAGCAGCCGAAGCCCCGTCGAGAGAGTGGTGCACTCTGACCGATGCACCGATGCAGCGCAGCTCCCAGAGCATCCGGCGGGGCTTCCACACCCCTGCCTTGGCATCGAGGCTGCGGGAGGGGGCAGAGGCAGGCTCAGCTGCAAGACCCCCGCCCAAGCAAACCTATTTGGCAAGGGGGGGACCCTTAAGCCCCCCCCCCCACACACCGCTGAACAGGACCGTATGGCTCGATAGCCAGGGCCCACTGACCGGGCGGGGTAGCAGGACCTGGACAGGGAAGCAAGACGGCGTGCCGGCCGGGGTCGGGGCATGGGGTGGCTGGTGCAGCCGCTGCGACAGAGGAGCCCCGAAGGGGGCGGAGATCTGGAGCCCCCTTTGGCCGCTGACCTTGCGCTGCTCCCCCCCCCTTGCGCTTTAGGGTCGTCTCCATCGGGGTCACGAGCGGGCCGGTGTTCTGCGGGGTCGTCGGCCATCGCGTGAGACATGAATACACAGGTGCAGTCCCCACGACTCCCCAAGGCCAGTCCCAAAAAGGTGGGGTCCCAGAGGACGGGCCAGCTCCCGCCTCGCTCCCAGGCGCCTTCGCAGGCAGCACGTGTCACTCGCCTGGCTCTGGGGCGAAGAATAAGAAATGCCATCCTCCCGTTGGAGCCTCGTTAGGGGAGCTCCACTCCCAGCGCAGCCACTTTGAGCGGAGCCTCGGCCGCGCTCCCCCACCCAGCACCTCCCCGGGCTCCCTCTCCGAGAGCTGAGAAGAGCTGGGCATGAGGGACGGAGGGGGGTGGGAGCGCTGAAGGCTCAGGGCTGGAAGGCTGTCACCGGGGGGAAGGCCGGCTCCCTTCTCGATTGTCCCACGGTCCAGTCCAGGCTCGGCTCACGGGAAGCCAGAGGCTTGCGTGGCGCTGGGGAGGCCTTGCCAATGGCCCTGGCGCCAGTGCCCTCGGGAGGCCGCAAGGGGCAGCTGGGCGGGCCCCGAGAGAGATGCTGGGCTCGTGGTCCGCAGTGAGTAGAGGGCTGGACGCAGTGGCCTCCCAGGCCCCTTCCCACTCTCCTGTCCTAGGTCTGGTTGAGACCTGGAACAGTAGGGAAACAACCGCTTGCTCTAGTGTTCATTGCTATCACGATGGTTTCCCGCGTCCCGCGGATCCTGCGGGAATCCGCCGAACTGGAGGCGGCTTTTGCTAAGCGGCCAGCCAGAGAAGGCCCGGCGCCCTTTCAGTCCCTCCTCACCACCTCCTGGCAATTCATGGGCACTTGCTGGGAAAACAGGAGAGGGTCCTGGATTATCTTTGCTGTATCTGATCGCCCTGGATCAGCTGGGCCTGCTTCCTCCCCGCACTGAAATCTTTCTCCCTGGAGGCTGTCCTGGAATCCAGGGCCCCCCCGCCACACCTTCCTTTGCACACCCGGGCCGCCGGCTGAAGGGACGGGGCCCTCGGCAGACGCAGCCCGGACTTGAGAGCAGTGCCTGCCCGTGCCTCTGGGCAGAGCGCTTCCGGGCTCCAGGCCTGCATCTTTCGGCCAGTGGCAGCACAGCGGGTCTCTGGGAGGAGGCTGGCCGGCAGGCCTTCCTCTCCCGTCTCGCTCCAACAGAAGGGCTGCTGGCCGCATCAGTCGAGTTGCCCGCAGTGGCCCGACGAGGCGGGGGTGGGCACACGACCCACTTGCGGCAGGGGGTGGGCGCACTCCTGGCCGTGCACTGACCCCCACCCCCTCCTCGCTCGGCGCAGTCATCGGCCGGAAAGTGAACCTCGCGGCCCGGATGATGATGAACTACCCGGGGCTGGTGACCTGCGACGCCGTCACCTACGCCAAGTCCAAGCTGCCGCACTACTTCTTCGAGGAGCTCCCGCTCATCGAGATGAAGGGCGTGGTGAACCCCGGCACGGTCTATCAGTTCCTCGGCATCTCGGAGAAGACGTAGGTGCCGCGCCACTGGCGGCGGGGCGAGGAGGGGCGCTTTGTCGGGGTGCTGGCTGGACGGCAGCGGACGGTCCGCTGAGCGCTGTGCTTGGGTCTTGCGGAGAGGGCCGGCAAAACGCTTCCCCGGCGCTGTCCTGCGGCTCTGGCGGCTGGGCAGGTTTCCGGTGTTTCTCTCGAGCACTGCAAGCCGTAGTCAAGCTGGCCCTGCGGAGGCGTGCGGGACTGGGAGGTGGTGCCGATGGGCTCAGCGGGGAAGCCGATGGGGTCGTCTCTGGGCATGACAGGAAAGCCCTCCGTGCACACCAACTGGGCCCCAGCTGGAAGCCCGTGGCAGCTGCCGGTCGGCTTCCCTCGAGGCTGCGGAACAGGCCGGGTCACTCCCGCTGGCCAGTTGCCCCAGAATGGCCCCTGCATCCGAGCCGTGGGCCGGTCCCGTGGCTGCGGAGAGGCCCGCTCCCCCTCGTGGCCAGAGAGTCCAGTGTGACCCATCATCGGATCCCAGGGGGAACAGGGAGGGGGCCAGGACTGCAACGTTGCAGGGTCACCGCGTGAGTTTCGCAGGCAGCGAGCGATCCGGCTTCGATCGAGGGGCCGTGGTGCCTGGCTGCTCCCGGCTGCGCACCTGCGAAGCGCCTGCTGGACTCGAAGGATCGAAGGTTCAACCCGCACTTCCCTTTCTGCTCTCCCCCACCAATCCCCACCTGACCCCGCCATTTCTTTAGAATGATTTACAAAGCATATTTGACCAGGGAACGATCTGAAGATTACCCGTTGCTAGGTAGGTGGCCCGGATCCTGGTCTCCTATGGCGATCAGGCGCTGGGGGGAGGGCTGTGGGTGTGAGAGCGACATGGGGGGGGTCCTCGCTGTTTGTGCACTGGCTGCCCCCTCGCCCTGAGCGCCACCCTGGGCAGGGTGGGGTGAGTGCCGCAAGCCTCGGACGTGGACCGCTTGTGCCACGGCCGCCGTTTTCAGGTGTGCCGCTGACTCACATCCTGCCGGCCCTCCGCACACGTCCACGCAGAAGAAAGCCTGACTGGTTTTGGGGGCACTTCCTCCGGGGCAAGCAAGGCTGGATCTCACCCTTGAACCGTGCTGCCAGGCAGATGCTCGGCTGCGCCCACACTCGGTGGGCCATGGCACCCGCGGCTCGGGAGGTGGCGTTTCCACGGGGCCCGGAGAGCGCTTTGCATGCGAAGGGCCTGCTCCAGCTCGGCGTTTCCTGTCGGGGAGTGGGGCTGCCCCCTTCCGTGCCCAGTTTCCAAGGCCACTCTTAGTGGGATGGCAGAACCTCCAGGCGCGCTGGCCTGAGGGTGCCCAGCCGTCCGGTCCCGTGTCAGGCGATATTCCATCTCTGCCTCCTGAACAGGCATCTGTGGGAGGAAGGAAAGAAAGAGCAGGCAAGCAGGAGAGTTTGGGCTCCCAGGAAACCCCCACAGTCCCCCGGTGTGGGTTGGTAGCGCCGGGTGTCAGCCCATGGAGTGCTGGCAGCATCTGATGGCCCCTCGGCAACGCGAGGACGACGGCCGGGCCCTGGGCAGCTGCCGTGGGCCCTGGGCCACTCACTCCCGGCGGCAATGGGGCCTCGTCTCAGCAGGGACCCCAGGGGGGAGCCCCGTCTCTCCTGGAGGGGTGCGTGGGACCCCTGAAGGGCCTCCTTTCAGGGGCCGCCTGCGGAGGCGGTGGCTTTCCCACCCCGAGGCAGATGCCTGCACCGCCGCCTCTCCGGGGGTCGGTGCTGCACCACTGAAGGTCTGAGGCCTGCTCAGGCTGGCCCTCCAGGCCTTCGGGAATGTGTGGATGGTCCTCGAGGGCTGGGGCAAAGGCCAGCCAGTGGCACACCCCGACCCATGTGGCACGGGCAAGAAGGACGTCCCACGGCACATTTGCACTGGCTCGTTCAAGGGCATTTCCTCTGCTGCCTCATTTCCCCCCAGGTCGCAAGAAAGAGACCGACATCTTCGAGAGCTTGCTGAGTGATTTCAGAAGTTCCAAAATAAGCCAAGTCATAATTTATGAAGGTCTCATGGGATACGGGAAAAGCCAGCTCATGGCCGAGATCGCTTTCCTGGGGCAGGCGCCTGGGCAAAAGTGAGCGCTTTGGCCCCGTCTGGCCCGTATTCCCAACTGCGCCGAAAGCTCGCTCGCTGCTCTGAAGCTCTTGGAGCGCCTCGGCTCTTGCGCGGTTCCTGCAGCCCCAGAAGATCTCGCGTTGGCTCGGAACAGTCTCCTTCGCAGCCGGAGCGTCTTCCCGGCATCAGTGTGCGGGAGGAAATGCCTGACGCGGCTTCCTTGCTTTCTCATGAAGCTGCCTGCCTTGTTCTTGCAACCCAGCAGGGTTGTCGCGATGGAGCTCACCAAGATAAACATGTGGCAGAACTTCTTCACCATCCGGACGCTGATGGCCATGTTCTTGGGGATCGACACCTGCAAAGCCTACGACGCGAGGCAGTACATCCTGGTGAACAAGCTCCGTGGAGTCATAGAGGACCAGTTCTTCTGCCTCCTCAACAACCTCTTCCATGTTAAGGTACAGGGCGAGCCTGGCGCGTCGGCTGGCTGAGGGTGCTTGACCCGGGGCTGCAGCAGTGCTCTGTTCGCACGTGCGCAAGTGCAGGCGTGGCTGCACGGGAGGGGGGTGTGAGCACTCTCGCCAGGGTGTGCCACGCATGCCGCTGAGGTCGTGACACGTGCCGGGCAGCCCACGACTTCCACCCCGTGGCTGGAGCCTGTGGCTCTGGGAGTCCCAAAGGGAGGGGGCGGGGGCGGCCTCCGTTGCATCGGGGTCCCCCCACCGGTGCCCTGCCTCCTGAGTGCCTGCCCCACGCCTCCCTCGCTCGCCCCCCGCCCATCCACCCCGCTTTCCAGTCAGAGGGTCCTTAGGAGACCGGTCCTTGGGAGACACGCACAGGCTTCAGGGCATGTGTGAATTAGCCTCAGGACCCCGCGCATCCCACCTCCACCCTGCGGGTTGCAGCCTCCGGTCGCTTTACCCGCAGCCCCACACCCGGTTGCCAAGAGCGCTGGCCAGCGGGACGCCGGCCACTGCCGTTCCCGAGCGCAGGAGCTCCCACGCTGCGGGCCGACTTCCTCGGCCGTGTGCTCTCGCGGCGGTGATGGAGACGCCTGCCCGTGGGTGCCCCCCGCCCTGCGGGGGCACAGCCCAGTCCCCCGGTGCCTGGCGCTGCCTCGTCCTTGGGCCGAGCCACGTGGTTTTCCAGTGCTACAGTTTCATATTCCTATGACCTGCAACACTTTGCAATGATGCCCTTATATCGTTACTGTACGGCGGTGTTGCGATGCCACTCGTGCTGTGAAGCTGCACCCTCGCCAGTCAGGCTGAACCGACCCGGTCGGTCCCTGCGAGCGCCTCCAGGTGGATTCCTGCTGCAAGTCCTGCCGGCAGGAAGTGGGGTGGGGGGGAGGCGTTCCTCACCGGCGGCCATGGGGCTTCTCTGCTCTCTCTGCTCAGTTCCCCACTTCAGAGGCAGTTTCCAAGTTGGACAATGACAAAAAGAATGAGAAGATGGAAAAGATCCTTGGGAAGATCCTCGAGAGCGTAAGCATGGCTGTTCGCCAGGCGGGGCTGCAGAGACCTCCCCCGCCATGGGGCACCCCTCCTTGCGGAAGCGCTGAGGCAGCCGCCCTCCGGGGAGGCAGGCCAGGGCCCGGACGCGGGCAGTGCCAGATGCTTCAGGGGATGGCTCCGTCCGGCGGCCCTGTCCTTCTGCCAGGCACTCTGCCTTTGGAGAGGCGGCCACGCTTTGGGGTGAGCAGCCCCCCGGGGAGCCCCAGTGGGTGGAGAGTGGGAGGGCAGGAAAGTCTGGAGGACGGGGTGGGGGGTCACTTCAGCCCCCGCTCTGAGCTCATGCTGTGCAGCGGCACCTTGGCAGTTCCCACTGACCGGCAGCGCCGGCCCCTCGCGCATCTCGCTCTCCGTGGCTCCCCGAGTCCGCCTGCATCAGGCTGAGCGGCTGCGGCCCCGCAGACGGCGGTTTGGGGCCTCTGCCGGGGCGACCCATGGCTGCACTTGAGGAGGGCTCGCCGGGAGCCCGCGGCCGCATGAGCCGTCGCCATCACTGTCGTCCTCAGGCGATGGAGAAGGAAGCGCTCATCTTTGTCATTGACGAAGCCCAGTTCATTGACTCGGCCTCCTGGGACTTCCTGGGCAACCTGCTGGAGAAGGTCGCCATTTTCATGGTCATGTCACTGTCTCCCGGCAACCACAAGGGGCGCCGGCCGTGCGCGACGGCAGCGCGCATCATGAGCAGCCCCAACACCACCTACATCCAGCTGCGGGCACTGACACCCTCCGTCATCGTGCAGAAGGCCTGCCAGGACCTCGGTGTGGTCAGCATTGCCAGAGAGCTTGAAACGTGAGTAGCACAGAAACACAGAAACAGAGCAAGTCAGAAGGGGCCGCCCGGGCCATCTAGTCTGACCCCCGGCTCCAGCTGGCTCCACTCATGACACGACCACCATGTGGACGTCCAGCCTGTCCTTGAACGCCCTCTCCGATGGGGCCTCAGCCACCTCCTGGGGAAGCCCATTCCATGCCCTCGGGGTCCTGACTGTCAGGAAGTGCTTCCTGGCATCCAAATGGAACCTTGGCTCCCTGAGCTTGGCTCTGTTGGAGCGCGTCCTGCCTTCCTCTGCAGGGGGGAACAGGTCTGTCCCCACCTCCGTGTGACACCCCCTCACATACCTGCATGTCGCCAACAGACCCCCTCTGAGTCTCCTCCAGGCTGAAGAGACCCAGTTCCCTCAGTCTCGCCTCATACGGCATCCCCTGCAAACCGGCCACCAACCTTGTGGCCCTGCGCTGCACTGACTCCAACCTGGCTATATCCTTCCTGTAATGAGGGGCCCAGAATGAGCACAATACTCCAGTTGCAGGTGCACCAGAGTCGTATAGAGTGGTAGCAATACCTCTCTTGATCTGGAAGCCACGCTTCTGGCTGTGCCACCAAGGGTGGCGCTCGCCCTCTTGGCCACTGCATCCCATTGCTGAGTAGCGGGCACCTGGCCCGTGGGCCTCCCAGCCGCGCCCTGATGGGGGAGGCAGTGGCCCTTCCAGGCCAGCACACTCCGTCCCCCGGGCAAGCACCCCACCTCCCTTTTATGCTGGCAAGGCAGCGCTGCCTGACATCAGTCCACGGTGGCCCAGGGGCCACCCTGCGGCCAGCGCTGCGCTCTGTGGCGACTCCTTTTGCCGGAGGAGGGCTTACTGGGAAGTCCTGCTCCTCCTCCCGAAACCACTTTGGAGAGCATGGGCACACTGCAAAAAAGCAGAATCGTTGCGCAGTGCAGGCGCCCCTTGCGCCTGGCAAGGGAGGGTCCCACAGGGGGCTTCCTCGAGGCCATCAAGCCGTCCTGGCAGCCAGAGCTTGTTGCAATGCTTGTGGCGGGTTCTCAGGTCACCGGACGCAGGGGACCTCCCTCATCGATGATGAGGCAGCTGGTCAGAAGCTAGCGGGCAGGAGCCGTGAAAGGGGGCTGTGAATCCCACCGCTCCGTGGCATTCCTCTGGCAGTCCCGAGGAGAACCAGTGGGAGGAGGAGCCTGCTGGGCCCTCTGTGCCCGTGTCCAGTCGGGGCAGTCGCTGCACCACGTGAGCCCCGCTGCAGCTGCCGACGGCCGCACGACTGAGGAGCGCCCCCTGCCCCATGGCCGCTGCCCCACGCTTCCTGGCGAGCGGCCCTCTAGCCAGTCCTGGTCCCAGGGCCGCCTGGGGTGGCTGCGGCTCGGCCGGCTGATCCGGGGACGGAAGCTCCGCTGCAGTGGGGTGCCTCAGGGACTGTGCTGGACATCCTGACGCGGAGCTGTGGTCATTCCCCCCCGTTCCCCCCCCCCAGGTTCTTAATCCAGAGAAGCCACGGGAATCCCTTCTACTGTGAGGAGCTTGTCCGGAACCTCCACCTGAACCACGTGCTGCAGTTCCACCTGGTGGAGGAGGACGAGGAGCGGGAGGACGAGTGGGAGAGCCTCTTCAGTGAGCGGCCACGGCCTGCCCGGCTGCCAGGGGCCTCCCTGACCCGCCCTGAAGGCTGCGGGGCGCACGGCTCCAGGGAAGGGGGCGCTCCTCCAGGAGGGGACCTGCGGAGCCTGTGGGATCGGGGGGCCCAGCAGGCGTGGCGTGGGCAGAGCCTGCGCCGAAGGGCCCCGGCCGAGGAGCCCAGGCCCGAGCCGGGCGGCTGCGCAGGATCAGGCCCCTTCGCATTTCGTGGCCGTGCAGGGAAGCGGGGCAGCCGGGCATCGTCAGTCTGGGGTGTGGCGCCAGGCGGCGAGGAGGGCCAGTTGGGGTGCCTGAGGCGTTCCGGGGAATTGGCCCACCCTGGAATGGCTCCTGCCCCCCGTGGCGAGGGCAGCACGGATGCCGAGGCTGCATCCCCCCGGCGGCTGCTGCGCCGACGTGGCCTCCCCGAGGTCGTCCTCTTGTGCAGCACGTGGCACGCGCAGGGGCGGCGCCGTTTTTCCCGAGAGCGTGGGATCGCACCCGCCAAGCACAGCTGCTGGGGTCTGGGGCGTCCTGCCTCGGCCTCGGGTCCTAAGCTGGGCTGGCATGGCCCGAAAGCTCAGGGCGCTCCCTCTGCTTCCCCGAAGCCACGACGGTCCTCAAGGCCCAAGGTGCCCAGGTGCCCCACGGCGAGAGCGAGTCGTACATCTGCACGATCCGGCAGAACGTGAAGCTGCACAACATCTCGCTGCCCCCGACCTTGAAAGGTGAGTCGCTGGCGCCTCCCCGGCACCTCTGAGGCCAGAGGGCCCGGGCCCACCTCTGGGGATGCCCTGGAGCGCGGAAACCCGGCTCGTGTCGCCCCCTGCATTCCCCGGCCCTTCCAGTCCCAAGATTTGAAGCAGACCAGGGCAGGAGGTCATCTGTGGGGCGATCGCTGTCTGTTGGAAGGCTGTGAGCACCTTTGGCCCATGGCCTTTTGCTGGGATGCTTCGGGACGCGGGTGGCATTTGGATGGGGCTGGACTCTAAAGTCCCACTGCCCCCCCCCCCCCCCAAGCCCTTTCCTCCTTCCTCGCTGTGGCTGCAACTTGCCCCTTCTGGCATCAGGAGGCGGTTTCCTGCCCAGCCTCTCTGCCCATTAATGCCATTTCTGGCGGTCCTGAGGGTGTTTCTGGGCACCTGTGAATTTGGCAACTCTTCCGTCTCCGGAACGAGAGGAAACCATTCCTGTCTGGAATGCCGTGCTGTGTCTCAGCAGAGCCAGATCTGGGCGGTCCACTTCTCCTCATCCCTGGCCCGCCGTGTGTCGTGTCTTTTCCTTCCGCCGGGGCTCCTGGCCGGGGCCTGGGGGGCTCCTGGCCCCGGGCGCATGTTGGGCGTGCGGGTGGCCTGCGCTCCGGTGCGCTCTCGGAGTGCGCTCTCCGACGCCTTCCTGCCTGCCCGGCGTGGCTGTTCCGTCCGCCTAGGGATTGCCCTGGCTGAGCTGGACAACATGAACCCCTCCGAGCAGATGGTGGTGAAGTGCGCCGCGGTCATCGGCGTGACCTTCAGCACGGAGCTGCTGCTCCACATCCTGCCCGAGTGGACCAAGATCAAGATGACGCAGACGCTGGCGGCGCTGGTGGAGTCGCACATCTTCATGTGCTTCGGCGAGCAGAAGGGCTCGAAGGCCGCCTGGGCCGAGGCCTCGTTCTCGGACGACCTGTGCATCTGCTCCAAGGCGGTCAAGTCCACGGGCCAAGCCTCGGGTAGGCGCGGCCGGACAGCGCCTGCCGTGCGCAGCGCTCCGCTGGGGCGAGGGGGCGCACGTCCCGGGCCTTTCCTGCTGGGAGGCCCCACTGAGCCTCCCCTGGGCAGGGGGCGCCCCCCCCGTTTCCTGCTGAGCCTCCGGCACGGCCTGGCCCGCGGCGACTGGATGGACGGGGCTGTTCCGTGAGACGCCCTTTCCCAGCAGGCTGCGCAGCGGAGGCAGCAGTCGCTGTGGCTGTGCTGGGCCGGGCCGGTCTGGCGCTTGGCTCCTCCCTGGCAGCACCCCTGCCGAAGGCCGGGGCGGCACGGCTGCCCTGGAGGGCCTGCACAGGGGCGACGCGCGGTCCACGGGCGCGCGCTGAGGCGAGCCGGCCTGCCTTGCAGGGCTGGGGCCGGCCGTGGCCAGCAGGCTCAAGCAGGAGGAGGCCGTGATGCGCTGCGAGCTGATGGGCTTCTGCACGCCGCTGCTCCAGGAGGCGGCCTACGAGCTGTGGCTGAAGAGCCAGAAGAAGGCCCTGCACCTGAAGTGCGCCAGCCACCTGGAGCAGCAGGCGCACCGCTGCAAGTGCTGCGGGGAGGGGGACTTCGTCGCCCTGCACCGCCACGTCGTGAGCGGCACGCTGCAGAACAGGGAGTCGCAGAGCATGAAGCCCGTGCCCGTCAAGGAGAAGATGCTGAACGAGGCCGCCTTGGTCCTGGTTTCTGAAACGCTGCGAAGGCTGGAAGCTCCCATGTTTGAAGGTAAAGACGGGATTTGCCCAGGGCTTTGCTGGCGCAGCCGTCAGAGCCCCGTCCAGAGGAGACCCACGCGGGGTTTCGAAGCACGCAGACCCGCTCGCCTTGAGCGCGGCTGCCGTAGTCACAGAGGCGAATGTGTGCGCTGCAGAAAGCCCGGCACTCGGGCGGCCCAGCGAAGGCTCAGGGGGCAGTTGAGCTGGTTGAGAGGGGTGCCAAAGAGCGGCGAAAGCAGGGAGAGCAGCCCCGGGCACAGCATGCAGAGCCTTGGGGCTGAAGGAAGGGGACGTCAGGTGCCCCGTGCAGCCCCGTTCCCGGCCCAAGCGCGATGACCCCAGCTCTGCGAGCACGAGAGAGCGCAGGGGCCGCCCTCGCTGGGAAGGGGCACTTCGGGAAGCGATCCGCAGAGGCCGGCAGTGCTGCTCCGACTCACCGGGACCCCCCAGCCTTCGCCCGCTTCCTTTCGCGTCCCCTCTCCCAGCCTCCCTTCTCGGGCTTCTCGCGTCCTGTGCTCCCTTCAGCCGCCCTGCTTTGCTTCTCTCCAGCCGTTCCCTCTGCCTTGGGCACTTTCAGTGGCCCCAGGTAATTTCTGCCTCTGGGATGCTCCCCTGAATGTGGGGTGAGGGGGGATGAGAGTCAGAGAAGCCGAGAGCGATGCCACCAGGAGGCCGGGCTCCCTCACCTGGCCGGCCTACAGCAGGGGCACCCCAGGTGGGAGGCTCAGAGCGAGACACCGGGGAAAGATGCTTCTGCCACAGCTTGAGGGAGGGGAGTCCACGCTCCCCTGGCCCAGCCCTCGCTGGAACTGGGAAGGGAACGGGCCGTGCAGTGACTCCTGGCAGCCTCCTGCACTTGGCACAAAAGGAGACTATGCAGAGGAGGGAAGAGGAAAGCGAGCCAGGGAGAGAGACGGGTCAGCAGGGATGGCTGCCCGCCTCCTCCTCCGCCTCGGCCTCTCCTGCCGCCACATGGACGGCCTGCGGAAGGATGCCCTGCAGCTGGCAGGGCCTTTCCCACGGGAGGGTCCACTGCCGGCACTGCCCTTCCAGGCACCCCCTTCGGGGCCCTGCCCGCCCTTCCCTTGCTGAGGGGTGCCTGGAGCGGCCCCGCAACACACGTGGGCCCCTCGAGGTGGCGTGTGGGAAGACATGCCGCCCGAAGGGAGGCTGTCGGGGGGTGGGCAAACCCCTCGCTCTCCTCCCACCCCCTTGCCGGGGAAGCGCGTCTGCAGAGCACGCTGGGCAGGCGCCTGGCCCGTCGGCCGGCCGGCCCGACGCCCTCCCTGTAGGCGAAGCGCTCAGGCTGGCCTCTCTCGCAGGGGTGGAGGGCAAGGTGCCTCCGGGGCCCCAGGCCTCGCTGCTGCCGCCGCAGGAAGCCTGCAGGAGGCCGAGCAGAGGTGAGGGGCGTGCGCTGGAAGGAGCCAGCCGCGGTGGAGGGAGGGCACGCACTGAGCGGGTGCCCGGACTAGGGGGGCCAGGGAGCGGGGGGATCCCGCCACCCCACCGTGTGCCTGGAGAGTCTCCCAAGTTCTCTGGTTCCCTTGGGGGGGGGGTGGGCTTCTCTCCATGGGGGAGCAAGGGGGCAGTGAGGCGGAGGGCAGGGGCAGGAGAGGCCGGCTCGGGCGGAGGGGCCGGCCTCACCTGGCTCATGGCGGGAGCCCCTTTTCCCTGGGAACAGCAGGCGGGCCCTGGCCTCGGCGGCCTTTTCGAGGCAGAGGCGTTTGCTCTGGGAACGGTGGGGCAGCGGCGGTGCCTGGCCGCCATCTCCGGCTGCGTCCTCACGGGCAGCGATGCTGGCGGGGGGGTGGTGTCCAGTGCTGGCCACCTTCCCTGGACACGCCGTGACACCGTGCGCTGGGCTTCCTCCACAGCATCGTCCTCCATCCTCTTCATCCCGAGGCGACCGACGCTGCCAGATTCGAGTGGAGGTAAACGGGTTGTGCTGCTGGCCGCGGGCAGGGACACGGTCAGGCCCCGGGGGGCTCAGCCCGGCTCCTGCTATGCCTGGTCCGGGAGCCCCGGGAGGCTCCTGGAAGCCTTGTTACCCTGGGGGGGCACCCCTTCCCTACAGTGCAGCCCCTAAAAATCGTGCCGCCCACCCTGCTTTAGGACTGTAGCATCCCCTCGGTGCCAGCAGAGTCCCTGGGGAGCCTTGTGGCAGCCGAGGGGGCTTGGGGGCCGGGGCCGGATCGGCATCCCCTGTGGCCCTCCCGAGGAGCCAGCCCCTTGGCCACGGCCAGCTGCTTCCAGGACGGGGCCCCAGGGGCCACCGGGCTCCTTCCACAACGTTGGCGGCCACAGAGGCATCCTCGGTTTCCACCTCTCCCCTGCAGAGACGATCTTGTCTGCCGACTGGAAGCAGATCGGCCTGCTGAGAGTCCCGCGGCGCCTCATCAGCAAAGGTAGCAGCATCTTCGGAGCGCCTGGAGGAGAGGGCAGGCGGGCGGCTGCTGTGCTTTCCCGGCAAGGCCCCCGGCCCAGCCCCCCCGGCCCCGCTGCTGTCGGGGGCTTGGAGGAGAGGCGCGGGCTTCAGAGGAGCCGCACTGGCTGCTGCAACACATGTCGTCAGCCAGTTCGGCTGGGAGAAGCCGCGTGTCCTCGGCAGCGCAGGACGAGGGCGAAGGTGCGGGGCTGGGCGGGCCGGGGCCGGGGCCGGTGGGCATCCGGGACTCCGGGCGCCCTCCTTCCTCCGTGCCCTCTCCCCTCTGCGCTTTCCGGAGACGGGACACAGGAGGGGAGGCAGCGGTTCCGGGTGACACGGTGGCCTCCGGCCAAGGATGCTCCCGGACCCGCCTGGGCCACACGGGGACGCGTGTGTGGGAGGAGGGCCCCGGCCTGCCGCCTGGCCCAGGGAGAGGCGGGCGGCGCGGGCGGCACGCGAGCGAACGCTTGCGACGCCGCGTCCCCCCTTCAGCTTGCAGAGCATGTGGGAGGAAAGGGTGGATGAGGCCCCAGGGAGCAATGAGGACTAGCAGAGCACAGAGCATGTCGTCCTTTGTGCATCTAAAAGGAAGGCTGAAGATGGTGTGATGCGGAGACTGTCAGAATATGCCGTTAACCACGGCGGCGTCCCCTTGCTCCCGGGGTGGGGGCTCAGCAGCGCAGGAGCCGTGCCGGCCCGCGGGGAGACGGGGCTTGCTCCCCAGCTCAGGCGGCCCAGATTCTCCTCGCCGGCTGGCGCAGAACTGCTGCCTCTCGGAGCTCCTCCCGCGGACCGGCGGGGGGCTGGGACAGTCTGCCCCCCCCCCCCGAATGCCAGGCCCCTCCTTCGCTAATGCACATGCAGCGAGCTATAGCCAGCAAAGAAGGGATCCCTGAGCATGCACAGCGTGCTTCGTCTATCCCAGACCAGAACGTCTTTCCCAAGAACCTCTTTTTGGCAACCCCTGGGCAGTAAAGGAGAGCCCAGAAGGAGCGGGCATCCGGCTCCTCTACCCGAGGAGGCGCTCCATGGGAGCGTGGGGGCTTTCCCTGGAGGTGCCATCCTGCAGAGCCTCTCTGGAATGGCCCGGCCACGTTTGCAGCTCCTTTGCAGGGCCAGGCAAGCCGGCGTTCTCCCCGATGCCGCCCTCATCCACGACGGAGACCTTGTGCAGTGTCACGGTTCTGTTCTGCGGTGCCAGGGAGCACACAGGAAAAATGCAGATGGGCAGCGAGTGAGCGACGCGAGGGGCTGCCCCCTCCCCTGCGGACGCGGAGGAGCACTCGCTGGACGCCTCAGGCAGAGGCTCTCGGCCTCCTCCTGAAGCTGCTCGGGCTTCAGCTCCCCGCAGGCGCCCCTGGGGTGCCCTGCCGCCAGGTCCCCCCTCCGGCCACGGGGCATCGCACTCCCCTTCCGCAGAAGGCACAGCGGGGCGCGCGGCCGCTCCAACTGGCGCGTCTCTCTTTCTCTGCTTGCTCCCTTCCCGCAGAGGACAGCGTGCAGAGACGCCTCAACACGCAAGACTCCTTCAGGTTGGGTGGAGATCGCGCCTCTGCTCTGGCCGGTCCGGAGTGGCTGGGGAGGGGGCGGCTGCCGCGCGGGGCGATCCTGCGCTCTCGGGGCGCCTTGCGTGGAACCACTGAGTGGCTGCCCACCGAACTCCTCTCGGGATTTGCCTGCATGGTCCATTGCTCAGCCAAGGGTATTTCTGTCACTTGCGATCCCTTCATCTGGGGAGAGAATTCAATTAACTGCCTTGCACGCATCCGCTTACATATACGAATGAGGTCTGCGAGCTTTGCAGCCCCCAGCACAACGTGGAGAGGGCGCCTTCTCTTTACCACCCGCGTCTGGGGGCACTTCTTGAGGGCCGGGAAGGCGGGTGCCCACGGGCAGGGCCTGTGGCCTGCTGTTCATCCGCATCTGACAAGATGTGGTGAATTGGGCCTGGACGCATTCGCGCAGCACGGCAGGCAACTGTGCACGCCGGCCTGGCCGTGTGGGTTGCGCAGGCCCGGCGGCACGCAGAAGTCCCACCGCTTGTTCCCCGATGCTGCGCCCGAGCCCTCCAGCCCAGCCCCAGGGCCCCTCTCGGCACACGGCATTCTGCGCCCCCCCCGCCCTGGCCACGACCCTTGTGCATTCTCCCCTTTGGGGAAGAATCCGCGCACTGGGAGTGCGCACACGGTGCTGGGTGAGGGCGATGATTTGGCTCCAGAGAATTGCGCGGTGGCTTCGCAGCTCTCGGTTTTTATGTTTGCACAATTTTGGGGGACTGAAAAAGTAGTTCAGAAAGAGACAGACAAACTGGGAAGGGCTCAGAGAAAGGCAACAGGGACGGTCTGGGGACGGGAAACACAGCCCTGCAACGCTGAAAGAGCTGGGGATGCTTGTGTGAACAGCCGCCTGTCTCTGCTCTGATTTCACATGGCGTTTGACTGTATTTTGCATATTGCATGTTTTTTTGCCTGTCTCTTCTCGATCATCCCAGAGTGCCGGACACGGAATAATGGGCTCAAGTTACAGGAGGCCAGGTTCTGGCTGGACATCAGGAGAAAGCCCCTGGCCGACAGGGCAAAGACGCCCGTGACCTGGGGAGGTGGAGGGCCCCCATCCTGGAGGCATTCCGGGGCAGCCCTCCGAGAGGGGCGCTTTAGCTCAAGAGCCCTGCACTGAGCAGGGGCTCGGGCCCCGCAGCCCTTCCGGCCGCACTGTGATTCCCCCCCAGAAAGGGGGCGCCTGCCCCTCTTCCCGGGAACGCAGCTGTCGCCGGTGATGTGACCGCATTTCCTCCTCACGCGACCCTCGCCCAGCGGTCACAGATGCGTCCTGAGCTGTCCTCGGCCCTGCCCCTGCGTGGGCCCAGCCACGTCGCCGCCCTCGTGTGGCGCCCAGAGCCCCAGCGGGGCGGGGGGTCGATGCACAGGAACAGAGGAAGGCCCGCTCTCCCGCCCACGGGCCTGGGGCTTGTGCAGACCTCCTGCTCCTGCGGGCCGGAGAAAGCGCGCCGCGCTCGGAGCCCGGCGCATTCGGCCCTCTTCCCTTCCTGCCAGAGCCGAAGACACGGAGATGGAGTTCCTGGCGAGGATGGACGAAATCATCCTGCTCACCGAGATGGGGAAGAAGAAGGTCGCGGCCAAGGGCTACAGCGAGTGCGAGTGCGAGGGCATCGTGGAGTCGGTCATCGCGCCGCTCGCGCAGCACTTCCTGGCCACGGGGAACCACAGCCGCGCCTTCTACTACCTGCTGGAGTGCGCCTCCGGCTACGTCTACCTCTCCAACAACTACATGGTGAGGGGGGTGCGCCCCCGGCCGCTCGGCCGCGCAGCCCCCCCACCACTGCGGGGGCCGCTCTGGCTGCAGACGCAGCTTCTGCCGAGCCAGAGCGCGGGGAGGCGCCTCAGCGCCATGAGGGCCCCCGCTCAGTGCGGCGGCCAGGCGAGGGGGACCCACGGGGCAAGGCAGCCGCTGCCGCCCACCCGCCCGCCCACCCGCGCGTGAGGCCCCTTGCCTGCGAGGGCCGGGGCCGCCCGCTGCTCCCTCGCTTCACTGGCCGGAAGGGCCCGGAGCGGGGCCGGCCTGCCGGGCACCCTCTTGTCTGAGGGAGGGCCCCCGTGGCGAGCAGGCACCGTGCTTCTTGCTGGGCTGGGCGCTGGGGCGCAGAAGACCTGTTTCTGAGGGCGGGGAACGTGGGGCGGGGGAGGCGGACTGGCTCGCGATGAACCTGCTTTTGGCGAGAGCTGATCAAGATTCTCCACACATTCGTCATAATTCCTTCTTAGAAGCGACTTAAGAGTCAAATCGTTCAAATGGCGGAGGAGTCACCGTGGCCGGCTTGCTTCTCTGGCGCTGGTCCCTCACATGCGAAGCTCCTCCTCGGGTTGGAGCCACTGGAGAAGCGGCCACGTGTGCCGTGCTGGGTGGAACCGGCAGACCACCCCGCGGCGCATTTTTCACGGCCGCATGGCACGCGGGGGGCCGGGCCGGGCTGGGAAGAGCTGTCCCCGTTGGACATGGGCAGCCCTTTTCGGCTGGTGGTTCCTTTTGTTTTAACACAAATGGTGCCAATTCCCACTGTGTAAATGCATCAGGTAGACAAACGTTTGCACAGCAAAGGCTGGAGAAAAGGACACGATGGACTAGCCTGTCCCTCCGCGAGGACGAGCAAAGACACCGGCGCGTTCTGTGCTATTCTTGTTCCAGGCCTTCACCTACCTCAACACGGCCGAAAGCCTGTTGAAATCTGTGCCAAGGCCAAAGCTCTTCAGCCAGTTTGAGGAGTCCGTTCTGCACAGCCTGAAGGGAGAGGTGAGGAGTGGCGCCGAAGCCGGCTCGTGGGGCCCGGGGGCGGCCGCTCGGCCCCACGTACGGCACAGGTGGAGATGCGGATCTCACCCAGTCGTTGGGTGAAGTTGAGCCACTGCTCCAAACCCCGCAGCAGTGGGTGGATTTGCAGGGCACAGCAGCAGGCCTCGCGGGCGCGACCCCCTCGCTTTGCCTGGAGAGCACCCAGGCCCTCTGGCCGGGCCGGCGTTTTGCTCCCTGGTGGGAAATGACGGGGCATCGGAGGGCGGCACCATTGGTTTCACTCCCACACATCCTCCTTCCTGCCCCGGCAGGCGCCCACCTCAAGCCCCCGGGGTGGGGGAAAGAGGCTCTGCCGGTGGTACACCGACTGGCGAGGGCTGCACCCGTCCTGCCGGAGGGATCCTGCGGGCAGCTGGGCGGAGCGCCGGACGAGGCGGAACCTTGCACAGATCCAGGACGGCCTTTCCGACATTCTTTCTTGGGGTGGGAAACCTGTGGCGTGTTTGCATTTTAGGGTAAACCTATCAAACTTCACACTGCTAAAGCAATACGGGGACCTAACTCCGTTATCCTGCCACTGAATCTGCCTGGCTGCGGCCAGCGGTCCCACCCAGTACCTCTGAGCACGCTGGGGAGCTGCCTCCAGCCCTGGGTGCCAGGGCGAGCGCCAGGGAGGCGGAGGCGTGCGCAGGGCCAATGCGCCGCCGTTCCCGTGTCTCGTAGGTCTCCTATAATATGGGCCAAATTAACTTGGCCAAAAAACTGATGAGGAAGGCTTTGAGTTTATTGAAGAGAAGCTTCCCAAAGACCATTGTTGGAGCCTTTTTCATGTCCATGGTGGAGACCTCCAAGCATCTGTCCCATCAGAAGAAGCAGCTGCTTTGGCAAGTGCGCACGGGGTAAGATCCTGCGGTGCTGCCCGGGAAAGGCGTGTGCGTGGCTGGGCTGAAGACCCACCCAAGGGAAGGGGGCGCATGCGCCACTTGGGCTGCCCCTTCCCGGCCTCTGCCGGAAGAGCTCCAGACTGGGGGGCTGTGAAGCTGCTCCTCCTCCTCTTCCGTGATGGGCCTTTTAGTGGTGCGAAGGGGCTGGGGGGCACAGCACAGCTTCAAGGAGGAGGTGCTGCTCCCCGGACTGCCGTCCCGCCCCCTCGCTGGGAACCCGGCCGCGGCCGAGGCAGGGCGAGGGCGAGGGCGCGACCCAGGCCGCCTCTGGCTGCTTGCCCACACAGGGGCTCCTGGGCTCCTGGGCCGGGCTGCAGGGCCGCCTGCTCCGTGGGTCTCCGGAGCACACTGGCCACACCGGGCTGACGTGGGAGCCTCCCGGAAGGGCCCGTGCAGCCCTGACCAGAGCGGAGCGCAGCCAGGCCGGCTGCCGAAGGGGCTGGGCTGCCTTTGGCCCGTCAGACCCGCCTTCCCAGAGCCAGTCCCTCCCAGGGTGCCGGAAGACGTTCCTAAGCTGGCACGGCCAATGCTCACACCGACTGGGGGTGATGGGAGCTGTAGTCCAGTCCTTCCAGAGAGCACCAGGCTGGAACGCCTCCTTTAGATGGGCAGAGCCACCTGAAATCCCCCAGCCGCCTTCCCCGCAGCGCCGCCGCCCCCACCTCAGCGGCAGCAGGGCGGGCGACCTGCATCCCGGCAGCTCGGGCCGGTCTCGCGCAGCGCTGCTCCTCCGCCGGCGGGCCCTCCCGGTCTGCCCAGGCGGAGGGCTGGCACGGGGTCCGGGCCACCGTGGGCCCCTGCACCACTGCGGCGGATCTTGCAGCAGGGAGAAGAAACTGGCCGTCCTGTACCAGCAAGGGCGCTGCCTTTCCCTGCTGTGGCAGCTCTTCAGCCAGGACATGGCCCGGAACAGCAAGAGGTTCTCCCGCCTGGCAGCGCTCATGAACGTGAACTGCGCGGAGGAGTCCGAAGACGAGTCCCAGGTGCAGCCCCACGGGCGCCGCCCCGGCCCTGCTCCCTGGCTGAGGAAAGCTCAGGAGGAGCTCTGTGGGCTCCCGGGGGACGGCAGGCCTGGAGGGCTGCCCCCTCCTCTTGGGGAGAGCCGGGACCACCTCTGCAGGACGCGAAGCGGGAGGGCAGGCTCTGGCTGGACGTCAGGAAAAGCTTCCTGACCGTCAGGGCTTCCCACACAGCGATGGACCCAACGGCCGGGGGAGGTGGGGGCTCTCCCACCCTGGGGCCCCTCGGGAGGCTGCCAGGCCAGGGCCCTGCTGGCCGTTTCCACCTTCACCGCCCTGATCAGCAAGATGCCTGTTTAAAACTCGCAAACAGAGAAGCAGAGCAAGCCGGCAGGGGCCTCCCGGGCCATCTCCTCCGCCCTGGCTCCAGCCGGCCCTGCTCACGGCCCCGCCACGCGCACGCCCGGCCTCGCCGCGTCCCACGGAGGGTTCTGGGCAGGGAACCGAGGCCGCCCGTTTTCTCTCCCGCCGCACGACAGATCATCTCCTCTTACATGGAGTTCTCCCTCTGCTGCCAGCTGATCGGCTGCCAGCACGAGTGGATGAAGTACGAGCTGATGGCCATCAGGCGCAGCTCCCACCTCCGGGTCGTCGGCGAGGGGCTCCTGATCACCGCCAAGCTGGCGCTGTCCCTGGGCTACATGAAGCTGTGCCTGGGGAACCTGCCGCTGGCCATCCAGCTGGGTAAGCCGGACTGCTCCCCGTCGCCGCGGGTGGCCGGTGGGGGAGGACTGCCGCCAGACTGTGCTCGCTTCGCAGGGTACCGGGCGCACGAACTGTGTGAGCAGCTGAAGAAGCCGAAGCTGGACTACATCGTCCTCGCCGACCTCTTCACCGCCCTGTTCCTCAGCACCAGGCACGCCTCTTCGTCTCACGGGTGTTACTGGTGTCGCCCGTCCAGGGAGCCAAGGGGCTGGGGCTGGATGGAGTCCTGGGGGACCCTTTGCACAGCCTGGGGGGGGGGCAAAAGAAAGCCCCTCCTGGCAGAGATGGGCCCTGAAGCTGGCCCCTCCCGCAGGCCGCAGCAGCTGGGCGAGCGTGGGGCGCGCCCCGTGGCGCCTGAGAGTCGGGACCTCAGGCGCGGAGGGGCGAGCCGGGGAGCCCTGGACAGCGTTGGGCGGGGCGGGCACCACCGGGGAGGTTGGACCCCCTGACCCATGCCTGGAACCACACCCCGGGGAGGGGAGGGGAGGGGAGGGGAGGGGAGCAGCCCTCCGCCACCCTCCCCATCACAGCTGCAAAGGGGAGCCCAGGCCAGGGGATCCGACAGGTTGCGTGCACATCCCTGGTTACATGGGCAGGTTTTCCGGAAGTCCCGGCTGGTTGGATGTTGCATTCTGGGCCCGCACAGCTTGTGCTGCTCCTTGCCTTGGCGTCAGAGCCACTCCACTTCTTCTGAGCTCGTCATTTCTTGAGTAAAACGCTGATGGGAAATAGAAACTTAGAAGCAGAGCAAGTCAGAAGGGGTCTCCCAGGCCAGCTTGTCTGACCCCCGGCTCCAGCCGGCTCCATGCCCACCATGTGCACGTCCAGCCTATCCTTGGACACCCGCACCGATGGGGCCTCAGCCACCTCCCGGGGAAGCCCATTCCACACCCTCGGGGCCCAACTGTCAGGAAGTCAGAATCCTTCTGCGACGGCCTCCTCCCCCCGGTATACCCTTTTGCCTGTTTGCCCCAGTACCCATTTCCTACGGAGGTTCCTCTTTCGTCTAATCCCTCTAACCACCTCCTTTTGCATCCATGGCGGCCTCTCCTCCGCCTCCCCACCTTACTGACTAGAGGTATCGTCAAGGCTTGCGCCTCCAAAACCTCCCTTTTGAATGCCATCCACCCCTCCTCAACTCGCTTACCTTCCAGTAACCTATCCCAGAAGACTTTCCCCAGTCTGGCCTTCATTTGGCCAAAGTTGGCCCTCTGGAAGTCCCAGCTTCCGGTGCTCGACCTGCTGCATGTCCCCAGTCCCCTGATCTCAAAGCAAAGGATGGAGTGATCACTCGCATCCAGAGCTCCCCTAATCTGTACTTCATCTATCAGCTCCTCCCTGTTGGTCAAGACCAAGTCAAGGATGTTTCCCCCCCTTGTCGCCTCTCGAACCCTCTGTGTGAAAAACGCTCCCTCCATAGCTTCTAGGAAGTGACGTGACCTGGCTGTCACCGCCGAGTGGGTCTCCCGACCAATATCCGGGAGACTGAAATCTCCCACAATTACTGTGTCTCTCCCCCAAGATATCCTTAGAATCTGGTCTGTCAGGCCATCATCCAGGGTCTCAAGTTGACCTGGGGGGCGATAATATACCCCCACTGTCAGGACCCTCTCCCTGTCAACACCCCTAAGTTTCACCCAGACTGCCTCTGCCGAATCCCCATCTGTGCTGCCTTCTATCTCCCGGCATCCTATCCCTTCCCTGACGTATAAAGCCATGAAGCAACGCCCCCTCCCCTCTTCCCCTTCCTGTCCTTTCTGAACAGCTGACCCCCCTCTGGGCTCGCATTCCAGACTGGCCTCTCATCCCACCAGGTTTCCGTGATCCCCTCCAGGCCAGACCCTCCCCTTCCCAGGAGAGCTCCCAGTGCTCGCTGCCCGTTACCCATGCTCCCAGCACTGGGGACGTGCACCTCGGCGCCTTCCCACCGCTTCCCTTCCTTGGAGCCCCCAGCCTCCCCCTCCCTCCCATCCTCCCTTTGCGCGCCTCTGTAGCTGGCGGACCACCTTCCCACCCGGGGGCCTCACCCGCTCGCACATGGGTCCTCGGGCTGCGGCCCGCAGGCTGATCCGGCCCGCCAGAGCTCGGCACGCGTGCACGTGTGGCGAAGGGCCGGCTTGCTCGCAGGGAGATCGTTTTGGACCCATTGGGAGGAACTGATCTCTGCGCACGCATGCCCCCGCCTTTCTGCGCGCACGTGCGCACCTCCTGCCCCCCCCCAGCCCACGCCCCCCGCCGCACCGCCTTGGTGGCCCACGCCCATCCCTGGCACCTCTCAACTGGCCCCCGTTTCAGGACCCCTGCTCTAGCGCTGTCTCTCGCTCCAGTTTGGATCCCTCCATTTTGGATTGCTCCGCCACTGGACTCCCCAGGTAAGAAGAGTCAGAAGCGGCCGCCCACTGCCGTCCCCTGCGCAGTTCGCCTGGCACCTCTGCCTTCGCCTGTGGAGGATCCCCTGCCAGCGTCGCCTTCGGCCACCGCGGCTGCCAGTAGCTGTCCTTCAAGGGCTCCCCTGCCCGCCCCCATTGGTGGGAGCCAGGCCTGATGAGGGCGGACGCCGCTGCCCCCGCCAGCCCTGGGTGCCCCCCTGGGAGCGCCGCTCCCGGCTCCCCTGGCGCCCTCACACGCCTCACCGCGGCCGGGGGGTGCGCAGAGCGGCCACAGCAGGCGAGGCCAGAGGCCTTCCCCTCAGAGCGGTCTCCTCCTCACCTCTCCCAGGTACCAGGATTCGGTGCAGGTGCTGAGCTGGCTGGAGGCCCTCTTCATTCAGGACAACAACATCATTGGGCAGGCCTTCTTCATCTCGGGCTGCCTGAACCTCATGCTTTATGCTGGTGAGTTGGGCCGCCTGCGCCGGGCCTGCTGCGCACGTGCGGAAGCGGGTGCGCTCCCTTTGAACGCCCACCCGTGAACTTCCCACTCAGTGTTCCCAAGTTGGCTTAAATACGGAATAGCGAGCAATAAAAAGGGAATAAGGAAGAAACCTGGAAAAGGTGATATTAAAGTTTATCGTGATAGGATGAAGGCGGGCAGAGGTTCGCACTGACGGGCACGTCATTTGGCTGGAGCCGATTCTTGGAACAGGCCAGAGAGGGAGCCCGGTTGTCTTCCCAGAAAGAGGCTGTGGGCGCAGCTGGCCTTCCTCTCAGGACAGGAGACACAGCATCACAGCTCCCTGTATTTTCACGCGCTGCCAGACTGCAGCCGAGGAATCTCTTAGTGGTTTACGGCAGGACGAGCTCCAGTACAGGCCTCCACAGTTAAAGGGCAATTTGAAACAGAAAGTACAGGTGTCTGTGGGAAATATCCCACGCCCAACAGCATCATGGTCAGCCAAAAGGGGTCCAGTTGGAGCCCGACCTCCGTGAGGCGGGCTGGGCGAGCAGGCGGGTCTCCCAGGATGCCGCAGAAATGATGCCTTGGTGGGCGCTGCCGCAGCTCGTGAGCCGGAGCTGCCCACCCCTGCGGCTGGGTGCCGGCCGGGCAGAGGCTCCCTTCCTCACCCCTCAGCTGCCCGGGCAGCGGCTGCCTGTGGGGTCAGGAGCAGGGCGGCCTGTGTGTGGGCCCGGGGCCTCCCTCTGCTCAGCGGGGCGCTGCCCTCCTCGCTGAGCGCCCCTGGGTGGGAGACTCCCCCGCCGCTTCCCAGAGGAAGGGGGGCCTGCGCCACCCGCCGTGCGGACGCCCGACCTCCAGCATGGCTGCAGCCCGGGGCACGCATCTGTCTCTCGCAGGTTTCTCCTTCAAGCCGTTTCAGCACTGCCTGGACTTCGTGCACGCCAACAAGACGAACTGCATCCTGATGTCTCAGAACAACATCATGCTCGGCCTGTACTCGTCCCTGGCTATCTGGTACGATTGGCGTGCCGGGATTCCTCCTCCTGGCCCCGGGTCCTAGACCGGCTTGTCCCTGCTGTGCCGCACTCTGACACCGTGAGCCAGAGAAGGCAGATGTGCAGGCAACACACCCGCCCAGCCACAGACGGGCGCACAACATGGACACATGAGACACACACGCGCGCGCGCGCAAAGCACTCGCTGCGCTGCGCTGCGCTGCAAGCAAAGAACAGAGAAGCTAAGACACCACGACAAAGAAAGGAAGAAGGAAACGCAAAAACCGGAAGCGAGGGCGCGCACGTCCATGCACACGCCCTTCCCAGGCACGGAGGGTTCGCACACCTGTGCTCAGCCAGGCCCTCCGGAGCCTGCTGCTCCCTCCCTCCCTCCTGGCCTTTTCTGGGCGCAGTTGCAAAGGAAGGGCTGACCTGCAGCCGCTCGCCCTCCCCTTTTCCCTGGGAATAGAAACAGTGCTGCGGCCTGGGGCAGCCGTGGGGCGCCCGCTCGCAGCCCGTCAGCGTCCGGGCTTTTCATTGCTTGCTTCAAACACTTCCAAATTTAAGTAAAAATCTGGGGGGGCCGAGCAGCGGCAGGAACCGGCTGGAGGTGCCCGCGAAGATGCTGGTGCCGCCCATCGCCGCTGCAAGTTGGCGCAAGGAGGCACACGCCTCGTACTCGGCAGCGGAAGGGCTGCCCCCCCCCCCCCGGCTGATGGAGGGCTGCTCGCCCCGCAGGTTCGCCCGGCTCCAGCTCTGGGAGGATTTCCAAGGGCCGTTCGAGCAGGCCCGGCGGCTGGTCCGGAGGACGAGCGCCTCGCTGTACGCCAACCACGGCTTCTGCAAGTTCGTGGAGTGCGAGGCGCTGCTGCTGCGGAAGTACATCGAGGACCTGCCCGACAGGGCCCGGGAGATGCGCAACCGGGTGGCAAAGGTGAGGAGCCCCTGGCGGGACCCCAGCACGTCTTGGTGAAGGACCCGTCCCAAACCCGCACCCAAAAAGGGGCTTCAGGGCACCCGCCAAACACCCGCCCGTTGCCCTCTCCTTCAGCCACGCTGGGGGGCGGGGGTGTCTTGCCATCATCCATCTGCAGAAAGGGAGCTCCTGAAAGCCCCCATGTGGGCTCCAGAGAGGCGCAAGCCCCTTAGCGCGTTTCCCCCCATGCGAAGGGCCTCTGTGGCTTCACCCCCCCGGCACAGTGGGCCACTCGTGCACCCTGCCCTGAGGACCACCGGCGGGCGGCTGGGAACGAGCAACTCGCCCGCCCACCCTCACCTCGGCCTCCCACCCGTGCCCAGGAGATCCTCCTGCCCCTTTCCCCACAGCTTATTTAAGGGGGCACCGTGTTGCTCGACTCCCCCTTGCTTTTTCTCTCTCAGCCTCTCGGGGTTTTGATTTCCTCCTCTGGGAATCTTTTCCTGTTCTCCTAAGTTCTACATTCAACTCAGTCAACTTTTTCCTATTGAACTTGCACCTTCAACTTTCTCTGGCATCTAACAAGGTAAACTCTTCATTTGCTTTTAATTGCTTGTTTTGCCACCTGTCAACTTCACCTTCTATTTCTGTTGCCAAGACTTGAAGCTCTTGTCATTATTTGCACCTTTCTCTCTATTCCGCACCAAAATGGATTTATTGGTAATATCATTTATATCCCTTAACAGTCACTCTTTCCTCAAGAAACTGCCAGCACCTTCCTCCTCATTCCTGCCTTTTCTCTGTGTGGCCAGCTTCAATTTCTTCTCACCTGTGTTGAAATGCTACCTTACTTTTCTCTACTAAGTTCAATTGCAGCTACTTAGGAACGAACGCATTTTGGCAAATTCCGTCCAAGTCAGACATCTTTCACTTCCTCACTGTCAGAGCAACGCGACAGTGGGACCTGCAGAGGTGGGGGACTCCCCCACACTGGAGACACTCAAGACGAAACTGGGCGGCCACCTGAGTGGCAGGGTGTGACTTGGTGTCCTGCAGCAGCAGGGGGTTGGACTTGATGGCCTTCATGGCCCCTTCCGACTCTGCTATTCTGTGATTCTATGATTTCATCACCCATTTATTAATGGGTATATGAAATTTCATTCCACTTGTGCTAATGGGTACACATTAGTGCAAACTCTCCAAAAGAATTTTTCTCAGGTCTGCAATTTGCATAGCTCAAACCCCAAACCTAACCCAACCAGCAACCCCCCCCCCACCCTGCCCACCTTGCCTCCGGCTGCCATTTGCTGTGGTCCAATTAATGGAAACCAAGGCTCATTTGAATGCGTTGCAGGTGTCGCCGGCACCATGACCCCCCTCCCCGCCAGCAGCCTGGGGACATCCAGCACAACATAACCCAAAGGAAGTTTTACGGCCTGCAGTCTAAAATCACAAGACAAAGCCTTTTATTCTGCAGCGGGCGTCCTTATTCACATACTTTTCTGGGGAGTGCTCACAGCACAACCAGTCTGCAGCCCTCCCATATTTTCCCACTGCTGCTTCCATGCTTGTTTTTTAGTGACTAGGAATAAACAAGGAGAATCAGATGGAAGGCTCCTTGCTTTTATCTTAGAACTCCTCATCTGGAAGCACCTTTGTCTGTATCCTTTGGATCTCTCCACATGTCTCTGCTGACATTCTTGCCTGTCTTTTTGCTCTCATTAGAATTTGGAGCAGGTAATGACTCAGTGCTCCACAAGCCCGGTCTACTACGCCAGAGTTCTCCACATGAAGGCTTACGTCCAGTTGATGCTCGGACACCATGAACTCAGCCAAAACTTTCTGGAGAAGGCATTCGAGAACAGCGAGATGTATCGAAACCACCTGGAGCAATCTTGGCTGGAGATGAGCAAGGTAAGATCGTGAGAACTGACCGGCGATCAGCAAACACATTCAGACACAGCGCACTAGCACGTCTTAGAATAATATGACGCATGTAGCAGCCCAGAAGCTAAACCAAATGGGAACTGTCCTTTTAAACGACCCATAGACCCATGCTCCTGTGAAGACCGGCATGGCAGTCTTCTGAGAGGGCGCTGGTTTGTATCTGTTAAACCTGTCCTACCTCAAAGGACTCGGTGTACATAAATTTAAGACAAATACCATGAGCCATTACATTCAGGCGGCCCTTCTTTCCCACCTGGAATGCCGATTCCCGCCAAAGGAATGGCGCCCAGGTAAGCAGAGTGACCCCATGGAGGTTCCACGGAGTCGCGCTGCAGGGCATATCGCTGGACTGGGCCCGGTTCTGCTTCGCGACAGGTGGCCCTGCACCGGCCGCCTCACCTTCTCATTTCTTCCAGGAGTGGTGGTTCACCGGAAGTTTCCCCATGGAAGACTGGTGGCTCAAGACAGCCCCCAGTTTCCCCAGGTGGAGAGTGGGAATGACAGCTTCAGAAATGGGAGCCTTCCACAGAAACAAGTATTTGCTGAAAGTGCCAGAGTTCAATACAGACCACACAAGCCCAGAATGATTGTGGCGCTTCCAGGGCCAGGAAGCCCCACCGGCAAGAATCCCCCGTTTGCCTCTGTTCCCTCCTGCAAACTCAACCATCTTGCCTTCCCGATCCGTTTTTCCATCTGGTGCCTATTTCAGGTGAATAACTTGCAATTAAAGACATTTCCCCTCTTGGAACCTTGAGGAGGAACACAGAAATCCAGTCTGAGTGGTATTACTCTCTGAGCATGGTCACATACGGCACATTCTGCATTTACTCGGACGTTTGCGAGGGGGAGAGTAAATCGCATTGCCCGTTTTGCCCGTTGTACGCGGTGGCATTTCAAAGCATGCCGTACGCTGCCCGCCGTAGCACTGGCCAGGAGAAACGACGCTTCTGATCTCCACTTCGCTCTGACTGGCACAGGCTGCCATCCCGACCTGGCTCAAAAGCCGCAGCGTGAAGAGCTGTGCTAACAGGCCACAAATGCAGTGCGGGTTTCAGTGGGAACCCCGGGCAACCAGTGCCTTCTCACGAAAGCATTTAATGGGTCGGACACAGCCAGTCCCCCCCCCACCCCATGCAGTTCTTCCATGTCCACACGGCGCCGAGCGCACCTGACGTTCGACGACGCTGCTGGGTGGACACATGCAAGCGGAGTGTCCGTGGAAGCGCGGCTGCACAGCCCCTTCCCACAGCCGAGCCCCGGAGAGCGCGAGGGGCACGTGCCCCACAGGCGACCAGCACCTCGCAGCGCTCCCTCCACCATCCGATCCGCCGGTTTCTGGCAAGTCGGCGGCCCCTCCTCTGGCTGGGGGGATGTGAAATTCGTCTAATTCTGGCGCTCTCCCTTCATTATGAACTCCCATCAGGGGACCATTCTGGCCCATTAAGCACCGATCTGCTTAACAAGGGAATGGCCCATCGGAAGCCGAGAATATTTAAAAGGCAGTGAAAGCACGCAGTGCTTCGACGGACTGCAATCAGCCCAGGGCTGCAGCTGCAGATGTCAAGCAGGGCTTGCCAGTGGCCGACGGGGTTTCTTCCGCTGCCTCCACCCAGCCCTTCCTTGGCCGCACAAGCATTTTGAAGCCTGCCCCGCAGCCGACACGGCGGACAGGATCCCGCCGCGGGCATTATCAGGGCCAAGTGAGATAAGACCCGGGGGTCTCTCCCTTCTTCCCCCCGCCTTGGCAACACCTGCACGATACCTGCACGGCCAGGAACCTGCAGGAAGGCCTCCCAGGCGCTGGAGCGCACCAGTGGCCCGGGAAGAGCAGCGGCTCCCCACGGGCAGCGGGACCCGGGCGGGCCGGCGGGGCAACACTGCCACCTCGTGGCTGCAGCGATGCGAGCGGAGCCCGGCGCACGGCGCCCCCGGGACCAGCGGAGCCGGTGGCGATGCGGCTGGGAGGGAGAGCGCGGCACGCGCTGCCCTGCAGCTCCGGGTTAGTCGCAGCTCTCCTTGCACAGTGCAAGGCGTTGCTCACCACACGCGGGGAGACGCGCAGCGCGGTTTAGTACGAACAGAAGTAAAAGCTGAGTTTGCACACAATGCTTCAGGCGGATACTCGCCATGTAAGAGAGAATGAAATGAGCCCTCAATCTAAGTCAGAGGCAATTAAACTACGAAATAAGCCTTGGGGGAAAAACTTTAAATATCGTGTTTAACGGAGCACAAAAGGAAAGGCCACTAGGCTACTCGAAAGGTAATATTCCAGGGAAGGAAATATTACAAATAATTTCAATTACACAGAGGCTTACAGGAAGAATTCCGAGGTTAAAAGTCCTCTGAGATCGGAAGTTTGCTTAAAGAGGGAATGGGCAAGGGACGGAAAAGTGAAAACCGGAGCGCTTCGGGCGCATCTATCGCCGGCGGCCGCGGCGCGCAGCTCCCACGCACGCGCAGCGGCTGCCCGGACCCGAGGGGCGCCCGAGGCTCGCCTGCCCCCGGCAGGGCCCGGCAGCCCGCAC